TTGTTCAGTATAATAAAGATGACAATAATACCTAATCTAATTGACTAATTCAGTGCCATACCAATTAAACTATCAAGGATTATTTTATAGAACTACAAGAATAAATAACAAAATTCCCTTTAAAGACACGAAAGGTCAAGAATCTCAAAGGAAATAAAAAAATAGTAGGAATGAAGGGGGCCTAGCAGTATCAGATCTCAGATTATACTACAAAGCAGCAATTCTCAAAACAATTTGGTTCTTGTTTTAAAAGAAAAAGATTGACCAGTGGAATAAATTATAACATAAAGAAGGAAGTTATCCTGGTAGCCTAGTGTTTGATAAACACAAAGCCCCCAGATGCTGTGTTAAGAACTCACTATTTGATAAAAAATGCAGGAAAAAATGGGTTAGCTGTAGGGAGAAAAATTAGATTTAGACCAACACCTCAAACTTTATACTGAGATAACTTCCAAATGGATGAATGACCTAAATCTAAAAAATCATATCATAAACAAATTAGAGAAACAAGGAAGAAATTACCTACCAGATCTATGCATAGGGAAAGATTTAATGATCAAACAAGAAATAGAAAGGATCATAGAAGATGAAAATGGATAATTTTGATTATATAAAATTTACAAGTTTTTGCACAAACAAATTCAATAGAGCTAAGATTAGAAAGGGAACAACTGGGAAAAAATTTTTTGCAGTAGGTTTTTCTGATAAAGTTCTCATTTCTAAGATGAAGAACCTATTCAAATTTATAAGAATAAGAACCATTCCTCAGTTAATAAATGGTTTAAGGATATACCAGATAATTCTGAAGGGAAAAAATATAGGCAATCTAAAACTATATGAAAAAAATGCAGAGACTAATAATTAGGGAAATGTAAATTAAAGCAGTTCTAAAGTTTTACTTCACATCAATCAGATTGGCAAAGATGGCAAAAAAGGAAGATGGAAAGAAAGGAAAATGTATAAAAGCATGCTTGCCCTTGCACTCAGGGCCCATCCCTCCCTAAGAGGGGTGGAGCCCGCTTCTGGTCAGAAATGTCTAATCCTCGGGACTTTCTCTGTAATAAACTTTCTTGATACTAAAAAAAAAAAAGAAAGAAAAAGAGAGGGAGGAAGGGAAGGAGGGAGGAAAGGAAATGACAAAGTGTTGGAGGAGCTGTGGGAAAACATGAATATTGATCCACTGTTTTTGGAGCTGTGAATGAGTCTAACCACTCCGGAAAGCAATTTGGAATCATGCACAGGAAATTACTAATCAGTGAATGCCCCTTGACTCAGCTTTACCACTATTAGGGCTATACTCCAAAGATATTAAAGAAAGAGGAGAAGATGATTGATATATATATATATATATATATATATATATATATATATATATATATATATAAAGATTTGTAGCAGCTTTTTGTAGTGGAAAAAAAAAAACAACTCTGGAAATTAAAGGGATGCCCATCAATTGGAGAATGACTGAACAAGTTGTGGTCTATAAACATGATGGAATATTACTGTGCTGTAGGAAATGAGGAAAGGTACATGGAAAGACTTAAATGAATTTGTGCAGGGTAAAGTAAGAAGAACCAGAAGAAGAATTTATCCTATAACATCAACACAATATATATGAACAATTTTGAAAGACTCAAGAACCGAATGATCAGCCATGATTTGGAGAACTGATGACAAAGAATGCTGCTCACCAGAGAAATGATGGGCTAATATGAAGAAACAGAATAGTACTTTTGGAACAGTCTGGGAATATGCTTTGCTTGAATATGCTTATATGATCCCGGAGTTCTATTTTCCTTCCTTTTTCCTTCTTCCTTTCTTCCTTCTTCCTTCCTGCCTTCTTTCCTTTCTTCCTTCCTTCTTTCCTCTTTCCTTCCTTCTTTCTTCCTTCCTTCTTCCCTTCCTTCCTTCTTGCCTTCTAGTAGGTAGGGGGAAATGGAAAGGGAAAAATGAATGTTTGAAAACTGAAGAAAAAAAATAAAAGGCATTTCCTTGGTCACTCATAAGGTAGTAGGGTAGCCCTTAGCTTACATTTTCAAGTTTACTCCCTTCCTATCAAATGCTGCTTACACAAAAGACCATTTCAAATAATGGGTGTAAACTCATTCAAGCAAAACAGCAAATAGAAACTGGAGAGTTTATGTTAGAATATGCTAAACAAAAAAAAGTACATCCGAGTGAATGAGATCTCAGCTGAAAGTGAGAAAAATCTCAGCTTAACCAAGGAGGATTGATCTCATTCAGAACAGTTGCATTTTCAGCAGTCTCTTAAATTTCAAGCAAGTCTAGGGACATGATGGGGCCGGTTCCCATGCATGTCTGCCATTCCTAAGGCTCCCCTTCTCTCTCCATAGCTTTCCTAGAATTCCTTTTTCCAAAAATCTCCCCTAAAGAGTGTCTGGAACCCCAGTTTAAGTAAGTTCCATATGATAAGTCTGCAGCATTGTGCTCAGAATTCTCTCCTTCAATTAGGAGTCAGGTCTCCCTCTACATATGTAGCACAGCCCAGGATTATCCCTCCTTCCTCCAGCCTCAGTGGAAGCTGTGCTACATTTTTTATCGTTGCCAATCTGATGGGTATAAGGTAGAACTTCAACTGCTATTTCAAACAAGTCCTTTCAGAGGATCAATATCTAGTCCATGTGGAGAATTTGAAATCCAAAGTCGCAATTCAGAAAGAAGACATACCTTCCAATAATAGGAAAGGGATAGTCCCATTGCATTCCACACTTGTCGGAACTCATCTGGACATAAATGTATTTATTTCTGGGAGGACATCGATAATCTAGTCGTCCAGAGGAAGGCAGTCAGAATCATGACTCAATCAATCAATCAACAAGAATTATTAAATGTGTGGTCCAAAAAGAATGTCTACTAGATCAATGATATCAAAGTCAAATAGAAATGGGGAACTCTCCATTAGCCACATATTAACTTAGTTTTAAAATGTAATGTTTTCTATTTTTTATTGCATTTTCATTTATTTTGTCAAATATTTTCAAATTACATTTTAACCAGACTCAGGTTGCATTGGGAGTGTTGTTTGACATCACAAAGTGGTGATGGACCTCTTACCTTCAATTTTCACTGTTAACCTTTGAACCTTGCAGGATAACTTCTGGTTACAGTTAAATATGTGTAACACTCTGTTATAGTAATTTAAAATTTTAGCACAACATTTAAACTACAAAATAGAGGTAAGAAAAAATTTATTGCAGACAAGCCCTCAATTTGTAACAACTTGTTACTACAATTAGTTTGTTTTAAGGTTGGGGGAAATATAATGGCTCTAAGATTTACTTGTTTCCCTCTTCTTCAGCTAATTTAGGGAGTTTATATTAGATCAGAGCTAGACAAACTACCACCTGCCTACTTTTGTGCTGCCCAAGAGCTGGGAATGGTTTTTACTTTTTGAAATAAAGTTTTATTGTATTTAAAAATATAAAATTCATTTTTACCCCATGGCCCATATAAAAGCAAGCAGCAGGCTGGATTTGTCCAATATTTTAGATGAGAATTCACAATCACCCCAAACCTTCATCAGGGAAACTCCCCAAACTGTAGTCAGAGGCTGGGCTCTCTGCCTAGCCTCACTTTTTGTTGATTTCTCATTAAACCCTGGACTTTTGGTGGCAGTTGAGGCCAAATTGAGTGTACTGGAAACATTTAGGCAACAGCAGATTATATTCACAGATATATAGTCTGTGGCTAGAAAGCATTGACTGGGAAGGGAAGTTGGGGAAAGAGCAGAGCTTTTCTTGGGACTTCCTCTCTAACATGCCTGTAGGACCAGTGACTGTCCTTGATATAGCCCAATTCTATCCTCTCTATATATCCTTAGTCTCACAGTTTCCTCCTCTGCTAAATGAACTGGAGAAGGAAATGGGCAAACCTCTCCTGTATCTTTGCCAAGAAGACCCCAAATGGGGTCATGAAGAGTCGGACTTAACAACAAATATTGTTTCATTTTATCCTCAAGCAAATAAAATAATAGCCTATTTTATTCCCATTTTGCAAATGACACAGAGGTCAAGGCCAAGCTCAACTCGTCCTGACCCCATGTGGGGTCTTCTTGGCGAAGATACTGAAGAGTTTGCCATTTCCTTTTCCTGCTCATTTTACAGATGAGGAAACTGAGGCAAACAGGGTGAAGTGACTTGCCCAGGTCCCACAGCTAGTTAGTGTCAGATTTGAACTCAGGAAGATGAGTCTTTTTCTTGTTTCCAAGCTCAGCGCCCTATCCACTGTGCCACTTATGTCTATTTTGCATGCAGTAGGGCTTAAACCATGCTTGCTGGATGAATGAATGCATGAATGAATTTATTTGGCCATTTCCACCAGCTCCTCTCACTCCTCCCTAGCGCATCATTTCAAGCATTTTTTAAATGAAGCGGTGGGGAGAGGACCAAAATAGACAAAGTATTTAAAGTGCTTTGTTAGTTTTAACGGGATACGATACATAAAGTCAAGGACTGGAGTCATTCATTGTAAGGAAATCTGGGAATGCAGACTTCCCATCCTCGGGAATAGCCTGCGCCTGCGCCGAAAAGTGCCCGCCCCTCTTTGGAATGTTAGGTCTCTCCAGTACTCAGACGCCGTTTCCCAGGCAACACCCAAGCAGGTTTGAACTTCCGGCTTCCTCTGCTCTTCCTCGCCTCGACCCGCTTCTGCGCACGCGCAAAGCGGCTTCGACCGTTGGCAAAAGCCGAAGGTTTAAAAAGCCTCCGCGCGCGGGGGCGGGACTTAGCTGGAGAGACAGCCAAGGGGGCGGGGCTGAGTGGGGAGAGAAGGGCTCCAGCTGGGCTCGCGGGCCTAGCGGTCGCAGCGACGACTTTCGATTGGCCGGGGGTGGGACGGTCTCTAGCGCTGATTGGTCGGCCCGCTCGGGGCCCCTCCCTCCCCTGCCTACGCCGTGTCAGTGTCAGGAGGGCTCCCGGCTGTGTCCGCTCCCGCCCGGCTTGGCCTCGCTTTGGCGCTTCGGTTCCCGCCGAACCAACGGGTCGAAGCCGGGCCCCCGCCTCCGGGTGATCCAGCGGCTGCCAGGCGGGCCGGGGACGCCTGGAGGAGAGACCCTGCAGACCGTGGGAGAAACTGAGGCACGGTGCGGAGCAACTGGCGGCAGGCGGAGGCGCCCAGCTCGGAGGTAGGCGGGGACGACCCCGGGGAAAGGATGGGCTCGCGGGGGTCTGTGACCCAACCCACCACCCTGCACTTTGTAGGCGTTTTCTGTGTACCAGGCCCTGGGCTCTGCGCTGGGGATACCAGGTAGGGCTCCTGCCCCCTGGGGGCTCTCCGTCTAAGTGGGGGGCGAGACGGAAACCGCAAGCAGGTAGCCTGGTCCATGTGGTGTAAATGGGCCGTCATCTCGGAGGAAATCCAGGGAAGCTTCAGGCAGAGATGAGGAGGGAGAGCACTCCAGGCATGGGGCACGGCCAGGGCAAAGGCGCGGAGTTGGGAGCTTGAGCAAGGTGGCCAGTGTCCCAGCACAGGAGATGGAGTGTAAGAAGACTGGGGTGGGGGGAGGGAGGCAGGTTTGAAAGGCTCTGAATGCCAAATAGAGGATTTTGTATTTATTTGATCCTGGAACTGATAAGGAGTCTCTGGAATTTATTGAGTAGGGGCATGATATGGTCAGACTTGAGCTTTGACCGATGAGTGGAGGGTAGACTGGAGTGGGGAAAGACTTGGAGGGAAAACAATTAGCTTGTTATTGAAGTGGGGGCTTGCTCTGACAGCTGATGAGGTAACCCGGGAGAGGAGTCCTGGGGTCTCCCCACTGTTAGGGTGGGTGATAATCTTGTGAGTCTGAGCCAGGCATGTAAGGCCTGCAGGGAAATGGGGGGTGGGAGGAAGGAGCCTGATGGTACTTTCCATATTTCGCCCACTGAATTGTGGGGAAACCCTTTACAAAGTTTTCAGGGATAGAGAAATGTGTGTTGTTGGCTAGCTGTTTAGGGAACTCCCTCTGAGATCAGTGATTGATTGTTCTTTATCCTAGGATTAGCCGGCTCCTCTTCCTTCCATGCCACTTCTCCTCTGTCCCCTTCGTGGCCCACCTTCCCTTTCCTACCCCACCAACGCTCTCTACACCCTTTTTCTCCCCACTCCCTTTCTCTCAGTTCCTGTGAATTCAATTATAGCTGTGCAGGTGATTCATAGATTGCTGCATCTAGCCGTTTTCTCTCTCTTCTCTCCCACACCACCAACGGCCTGGTGGACATTCCCCCCTCGGATTTCCTTTATATCCATCTCAAACTCATCCTGCGCCAAACAGAGTTCATTCTCTTTCTCCCTTAACACGCTCCACTTCTGAGCTTTCCTAGGATGCTGTCCAGGGCACTGCCACCCTTCCAGTCTGCCCACACTCAACTTCAGAGCCATCCTCGACTCCTCACTCTTCCTTATCTCACACATCTAGACAGTTACCAAGTCATATTAATTTTACCTCAATGATATTTCTCTCTATCTCTTTACTCCCTCAGCAACCACCCTGGTTCAGACCCTCAGCGCCTCTCCCCTGGGCCCCGTCTCCCATCTTCCCCTGAGCTAACAAAGTGACATTCCTAAAGCTCAGGTCTGATGCGTCACAGCCCTGCTCATGAAGTTTCAGGGCCCAAACTGGTATAAGAAACAGGAGAGGACGTCCTCCAGCAGCACACTTTACCTTTGGCCCTGTGGTCTTCCTCCTTGGGGGTGGGACTGTTGTTTACAACCTTAACGTAGATCATCCATGGCCTTCCTCATTGCCCTTTGGAAGCTCACAACCTGAGCAGACCCCCGTGCTAGTAGTAATGATAGCACCTACATCCCATCCCGCTTCCAGGAGCATTGCTTATCTCCATTTTAGCTGAGGACAGCAGGTGATTTGTCTGCCGCTGTTGTCTGAGCATTGGCTCAGAATCTTTGTGCACTTCTACTGTCAATCAATAGCAAGCATTTGATGGCTTGTCAAGAATATGTAAAGGAGAGGCCGGAGGGTTTGGGCCAACTCATGCCATGGCGTATCCCTGAGTTCAGCCTGCGAATATCCTTGTCCTCATTGCATTGGGCATGTGGAGTTGAGTTGGTTGGGGGTTGGAACTCTGAATGTTCATTAATATTCAAGTATTTAACTTGGTATTGTTAGTTCATGACATTTTTACAGTGTGGGATTCTGTCTTCTTGTGTTGTGGATTTACCCTATAAAATGGGGTTAACACATGCACTCTCCACCTCACTGATTTGTTGTGAGGAAAGTGCTTTGTAAATCTCAAAAGTCCTATATAAAGCACATGAAAGCTCCTGTTTCTGAGATGATTTTATAAAGTATGGCTATAAAATGAGCTTCTGTAAACGTGCTATTATAATCACACCTTCAAAGGGACACCACAGATCCTAATTCTCTTTAGTTAATGGCAATTAGGGTTAAAATAGTGTCTCCCATATGAGAAGGAACCTGTCCCCACCCCTTTGAAGAGAGAGTTGTTCCATGGGTGTAGAACACTGTGTATTGTTGACTTTAGGGGATTCATTGGTTGATTCTACTGATTTTTTTCTTTAAAAAAAATTCTTTGCTACATAACAAAATAATGGTTTCATGGGTGAGGGAAGAATATGTGTTAAGATACATTAATGAAAATGTATTTTAAAGGAGCTTCTCCCATTTCCTCATTTTTGTTTTTTTTCTTAGTGGTCCGACCTGTCATGAAGGCTGTGTATGTCCCTCCGGGGCACCAGATGAATTCCAGGTATGTTTACCTGACACAGTGGTGTTCCCTGCTACATGTTGCCCCCAGATATTGTGATCATTTGGTCATTATCTTGAGTGATGCTTCCTTTTCTGTTCTCCTGAATTTTGTTATTGCTCTATAAAAGAACTGTTGATTTTTGAATTTGTTTTATATCTTGTTACTTTACAAAAGCTATCAAATGTGTCAGGTAATTCACTTGGATCTTTTCTGGGGTTTCGGAAGTAAACCATGCAGCCATCTTCCAATAAGGGTCATTTGGTTTCCTCTTTGCCAGCCTATCTTTATGCCTTTCATTTTTTCACTCGTCTTATTACCGTCACTAGCATTTTTAGTACTACGTCAAGTAACACCGGTAAACAGGACTTCTTTGCCTTACTTTTCAGTTGGGAAAGTTTCTTGTGTTTTCAGAGTTGGGACTGGGGTTTGGGCCAACTCATACCATGGGGCATTCCTAGAGCCTGCCCTTGAGTTCAGCCTGTAATTTCCTTGTATTTGCTGCACTGGGCTTGTGGAGTTGTTTGGGGGGTTACCATCTTGGTTGCCCTTCTTGGGATGTTTACCAGCTTATGGGATAGGAGTTCAAAAGAGAGACAAAGCAAGCTATGTAGATCTGAAAGTCATCTGAATTTGAAACCCATGAGATTATGCATAGACAAGAAGGCCCAGGAAGAAGACCTGGCATTATATCCACGGTTATTGTTCGTCCTTTGTCTAGAAGAGGACCAATGACATGATGTCATGACTTGCTCATGAATTGGATTGAAATGAGGCAGAGCTACACACAGTCATCAGCCTCACTCTCTGCCAGAGTCATGGCAGTCCGATGGCGGGACAAAAATCAGGGCAGCTGTTGCTGGCCTGGGATGCAGTGGGTGACCTTGGTGTCTTTGATGTCTGACCAAGTTCTAAGTACTCCACAGTCTCTGCTTCCGCCGCCTTCCTGGCCATTGGAACAAATTGTTCTCATTCACCCATTCTGCCAAGGGAAAGTCTTCACATGCTTGGAGTAGACAGCCCCCTAACTCACCAGTGGGTTTGAGGCCCATTGGCTACACCATCTTCAGAGATGGTTTTACTGGTGTGTGGCCACTGCCCATGCTACAGCTTCTTGGAGCCACAGGTGAGAGTTGGGTAAAGGTGGACACCAAAGGTAGATCAATGAGCAGCCCTGAAAAGGGCTTGGCAGCCCCCACACCAGAGGGGCTAGTCCTTCCTGAACACTCCATACATCCACAGTTAGGGGCACTCTAAGGGAGGAGCCTGAGAGGGAGTGGTTTAAGAGGTAGGAGAACCAAGGGAGATCTGTGCCATAAACCTGAGAGGAGAGCTTCTAGACTGCCAGGGTGGTCAGGAGTGTCAGATGCTGCAGAAAGATTGAGAAGGATGATGGTTCAGGAAAGGTCATTGGATTTGCCATTTAAGAGGACAATGGTGACTTTAGTGAGAGAAGTTTCACTTGATTAATGAAGTTGAAAGCTGCTTGCATGGGGTTGGGAAGTAAGTGAGAGGAACAGAATTGGAGGCAATGGGAGGAGACAGTTTTTCCATGAATTTGGTTCAGAAAAGGAAGTATGGAATGATGGCTCAAGGAATGGTAGAGTCAAGTGAGGATTTTGTTAAGGTGAGGGAGGCCTGGACATCTTTGTAAACAGCTAGGAATGAGCCAGGAGGAAGGGAGAGACTGAAGATTAGGTGGAGAGGAGAGGAAGAAGTGTTACAGGGACCATCCCTGACAGGTCTCCTTAAAGAGAGAAATTCCTTTGGTGGGGGCATGAAGGACACAATGTGGTTTGCCAAGCCTCATACGCCCTGTCGATGGCCCTTTCCATGGACCTTCCATGTTACATATTAACCAAAGACACAGAAATACACATCTTGGGAGAAGTTAGATGCCCCCTGACTACAATGTGAAGAGGAAGGTCGGATTTGTGGAAACAGGCAAGAAATCTCTTTGGACCCACCCTAAAGGGACCCTGTAATTTATCAGAGGAGTTTTGGGGAAATAAAGATTTGGGAACCGAAGTGTGGGATAAGTTATGTCTGTTCTCAGGGAGTTCTAACTCTTGGGACCTTATATTTCTGGGACTTGTATCTTTAGGTCAGTGGTAAAAGGAAGAGGGTATCTTTGTCTAGGAAGGTTTCTTTTTGAAAACTCCTTGTGTCTAGGCTGGGATGGGGTTTTTTCTCTGTCTCTTGGGAAAGTCGTCTGGTGGTGGAAATGAGATTGGCTCAGTCTTTCTTTTTCTGTAGGGGTTTGTTTCTTGAGTTGGGATGGCCTCTATCTCTATCCATTTAGACCAAGAGAAAGGCAAGGAAATACAGACATTGTTCTTATCACTTCCAAAAATCTGAATCATGTCATGCAATACATAACTCAATCCCCAGTGTTCATAAAAGACACTTATCTCCATCCATAGACAGATAGGAAATTTTTTCCCCTCTCCTTTTTATGAGAATTTCTTGACCTGAGTCCAACTTTGGCTCCCTGGGACCCCTGAGATGTCTCTGGCCTTCTGGACTCTGCCATTAGCCTTCAATGGGATGGGAGAAGGAGGGAGGGGCATGCCACCTGTCTCTTGATTTTCTCCGTATGTGGGAATAGTTGGGGACCAGGTTAATCAGCTGGTTTCTGTCTTCAAATTCTCTCTGTGCCAGATGTTATTGGTGTAGGGTTGCTGAAACAAGACCTCAGAAGGCTGATCAGTTTTCCTCTTCTCCTCAACCTCCATCTTCCCCATTAAAGCCCTAATTAGATGTTCTTGGAAGGGCGTCTTTATGCAGCCCTCTTTATGCCCAACACAAGCAGCTGATTTGTAGAACAAGGGAACTGGGCCAGATGGCTTCTAAGATGCTGTCCCTTGATAGCCTCCCAGGTGTGTTAGAGCAGTGAGTCCTCTGCGGGTTTGGGCCTATTGGGATCGATTCTGATGTTCCTGCCATGGCTGTGTTCCTGGATTCCAGCTAGGAAAGCCTCCCTGCAAGAGAACCAGAGATGCAGAAGAATTAGGAAACCTAGAACATTCTATTGATGTCCCAGTGTTGAAAGTGGAGATGGAAGAGCTTGCTTGTGGTTTTCCATGTTTTCACCCATGGACCTCTTTCTGTCTTGTAATGCCAACCAACCAGCTGAAGTTTCATCTCACCTGAACTCTGTGGTTTTCGTCAAGGGGCTTTTTTAGGAGTTCTGTAGGGAACGTGTCCTTCAGGCGGAGCCTCATCAGTGCACATGCGGAGGCTAGCAAAAGACACTTTTATGAAAAGTGTTAACACCTCAAACATGAGGCTTGGTCCAGAGTGGTTGCCTTCCTTCTTTGTTTTTGTCCTTGGGGGTTCTGCCTGTTTTAATATGTTAGAGTATTTTTCCTTAGGTCAAACAAAATGACTCCATCCAAAGTCCTGTTGGGAGAGCTTGGCCCTTGGGGGACTTCTCCCACCATGCTCCTCTGCACCTGCTAGGAGGCTACAGGGAGAAGGAGTTTCTCAGGGGATTCAGGACCATCATTATTTAATTACACTTATTAGGGAAGAGAAACACAGGAAGGAAAAGGAATAGTCATCTATCAGGAGTCCACTGTGTGTCAGGCACCTACAAATATTACCTCATTTGAGCCTCACAACAACCCTAGGAGGGAGGTGCTGTTATTATTGCCATTTTACAGTTGAGGAAACCAAGGCAGACAGAGGGTTAAATGGATTGCCCAGGGTTTCGAAGCTATTAAATGTCTGAGGCTGGATTTGAACTCATAACTCTGGGTCTAGTGCTTTATCCATAGCTGCCTACTACAAACCTGCTGTACTTCAGGGGACTTAAGTAGTTTAATCAACTCTTATCTTAGTGATCTGAGAATTAGTCCTTCCTTTAGATCAAGAATTCCAGTACTTTCTTCTACTCATTTTAGATTAAAGGGACATTTATGAGGATAAGCATGTCTTAACCAAATCTACATTTATTTGTGCTTTGATTAAAAGGATTACTTCAAGCAAAAAGGTACCTTTCAGCTTTCCTCCATCAAAGAGTGAGCTTTGGGATCCAACCCCAGTGGGAGATGTCAAGTATTTGCATCTCAGTTACTACAGGTATGAAATGTTATCCTTTGGTTCTCTTTAATGTAACTGGGAGCAAACTGGGATAAAGAGGCCTTTGCAAACTGGTACAAACTGTGACCGCCTTTTATGTTCCTCCCCTTCTCTGTTTTCAAAGTTGGCAGCTCACTTTCCATGAATTCCTTCGTCTTCCCTTCTAAGAAACCTCCTGAGCTCTTCTGTTGGCCCTGCTGCTTGGCTTGTGTCTCTCAGGCCCCTGCTAGGTTTTTAGCAGTGCGTTAGGCACTGTGGAGGCTCTCAGAGCACAAGACATGCTTCCTACCCTCAAGTAACTCAAGTTAGGGTAGGAGAGAAGATGAAAGGTGACCAAGAGGTGACAGCTGCTAGTCACTGGTTCAGTGTGGTTGTGCAGGCCATAGACTTTCTGAAAAGAGGAGCCTCTGGGAGGGCCTCAAGGGAGAGATTTAGAGTTGATAGGATTTGAATTCGAGGGCCTGGGGTGAGCCTGGGGCAGTGGAAGGGAGGGGGAGTGTGCTTGGTAGGGCCAGTGGAATCTCATGTAAGAACTGGAGGAGTGTGCCAGGCCGAGGAGCTTAGATTTGGGAAATGAGTTTATGGAACAGAGAGACGCTGGAAGATTTGAGCGGGGGTGTGATGAGTGGGCAATGTTAGGGAGGTTAGTCCGATCTGGAATTGGTAGGCAGGGTGGACTGGAGGATGGCAGGAAACTGGCCAGGTGATGGTTGGAGTCATTTAGTCATGAGGTGATCAGACCTGCCCCAGAATGGAGGCAATGTGGGATGGCAAAGAAAGTAACAGAGAAGTAGTGTCAGAGGGGAATGAAGCCAAGAGATGCCTTGAGATGACACAGATTTTGAGCTTGAGTGGTCCAGAGCAGGGTGAGAGGGGAGGGGTCTTCTTCTTATTATTATTTTTTTTTGGTGAGACAATTGGGGTTAAAGTGACTTGCCCAAGGTCACACAGCTAGTAAGTGTCCATTGTCTGAGGTCGGATTTGAACTCTGGTCCTCCTGATTCCATGGCTGGTGCTCTATCCACTGTGCCACCTAGCTACCCACTGCCCCTTTGTGTGTGTGTGTGTGTGTGTGTGTGTGTGTGTGTGTGTGTGTGTGTGTATGTCTTATTCTTTAGTGTTTGGTTTGATATGTTGAACCAAGGTGAGCTTTCCAAGCAGAGAGATGCACTAGGCTGTTTGAGATTTGAGACAGCAAGTAGAGATTAGAAAATCATCAGCACAGAAAGGATAGTGAAAGACACATGAGAAAAAGTGGGAGGAGAAAACTCAAGGTCACGTCTTTTGTGTTGCTGGTCATGGCATGAGATGGAGCAGGGAGGTCAATGAGGGTGGAGATAATGGTTGGATTTGGCCACAGGGCCATGTTTGGTCTTCAAGAGAAAATTCTCAGTAATAGTGACAACAGAGAAAAAAGACCACAAGCTAATGGGGGCAGCCGGGTCAAGCGAGGGTTTTTCCACCGTGGGAAGATCTAGGCTTAATAATGCCTGCAAATACGTTTCTAATTGTGAAGTGAATATAACAAACAGATCTCAGTCAAAACCTAAAGATCAAGAAGGCCAATGCATTTCAATGTTTTACAGGAAACCGAAGCTTGTGGTGACTGAGAAGGCCCTTCGGCTTGCTTATCGTCATGCTAAGCAGAATGACCCAAATTTGTCATGTTTTTTGCTTGGGACTTTGTTAATAGATGAAGGTAACCAGCATTTTGGGCTGACTGGTGTCTTTGATGGGCTTTGGTGAAGGTTCATTCTGGTTTGAGTGCAGCGTTGGCTCACTCAGTCTTTCTCCCCTCCCATCTTGTTCTCAGCATTCCTACCGATACCCCCTCAAACATACTAATTTCTCAGCTTTTCCACTTTCTCATTCCTCATGACCCACTTTCCATCCACCTCAGCCCCCACAGAGATGATTATGCTCTTGAATTCACCATCATGGACAAGTGCTCCATTTCCATGTTCATAAATTTTGAGATTGAGCTCTGATCCTTATCTTTGACCATTCTGGTTTTCCCTCTGCCTTGTGACCCCTAACCCTGTCTTCATCTTCACTAGAGCTCCATGCCTTCTACCCCTCAGGCCTTTCCCAGGTCATCTCCTCCGCTGTGGGTATACTCTCCTCACTTCCCCATCTTGATCACAGGATGAAATAGTCCAACTCTCCTGTCCTCTACCCCAGAGTTCCAAACAGGGATTGCCATCTGCTGTCTTGGCTTTTATTGATTTACTGCTGAGATCGAAAAAATCATGAAACCATGCTGACTGGTCCACTACGATTTCTGTTACATAATCTCACCAGGCCCTTACTGTGGTGAGGAATCCTTTTACACGTTGCCTCCCAGGGGTTCCCTCCCCAGCCTCTCAGCTGCCTCCCATTTCACTGAAAAGATGAAACTGTTTGCTGTGAGCTCCCTTGTTTCTCCTCCTCCGCTCATCACTCACATGCCTTTCCCGCCATTGTCTTTATCCCCATCTTACTTGAAGTGGACTTCTCCTTGCCAAAGCATCCTTCTCGCCAGACACTCATTTGCCAGATACCCATTTCATCCTGATTTCTCCAGGAGATTGCCCCTTCTCTGTACATTCACTTATCTTCAGTCTCTCCCTGCCTATGGCTGTTTTCCTACTGCCTACAAACATGCCCTTGTCTCCCCTGTCCTCAGAAAGCCCTCACCTGCTCTGTCTTCCCCACTAGCTGTTGTCCCATATTTCTCCTTTCTGGAGAAGGCCATCTACACTGGGCAACTCCACTTCCCCTCTCCCCATGCTCTCCTAAAGCCTCTGCAGTCTAGCTTCTGACCTCATGTTTCAAATGAAACAGCTCTTTCCACAGCTAGTTGCCAAATCTAACAGCCCTTTCTCAATCTTACTCCTTACTGACCTCTCCGCAGCCTTTAAAACTGTTGATGGTCTTCTCCGTATTTTCTTCTCAAGGTTTTTGTGAGGCTTCTTTCTGCAGGTTCTCCTCCTCCCAGAGGACCTCTTCTTCTCAGTCTACTTTATTGGGTCTTCACCCAGACTATCCTCACAAACCCCCAGGGGTCTGTCCTCAGCCTTCTCTTCTTACTCTAGAGTGTCTTGCTTGGGGATCTCATCAGCTCTCAAGGATTCGGTGATTCTAGTGCTATTGAGGCTCAGATTGATTTATCCAGGCCTAACCCCTCTGCTGAATCCCATTACTGCCTCAGCACTATTGGACATCTCAAACTGGATGACCCCTAGACATCTCCAACACACCATGTCCGAAGTAGACTTTGCCCCAGACTTTCCTTTCACTGTTCAGGGTGTCCATCCTCTCAGTCACCTGGGCTCCCAGTCTCGGTGTCCTAATCCTTAACTTCTCATACCCACTCCTACCCTACCAGGGCCTTCATTTCCACCTTCCCATTGTTTTCTGAGTGCAGCCCCTCAGCACCTCCTGCGGCTGCTGCCGGTCCCCTGCCTCAAGCCTCACCACATTCCAGTCAGTCCTTTATTTAGCCGCCAACATTACCTTCCTAAATCACCCTTCTCAGTTAACTCCAGGGACTCCCTGTTACCTTTCAGATCCAATAGAAAAATCCTCTGTCTGGATTTTAAAACATGACATGACATGACATGACATGATGTGATGCGAGGATATAACACCCTGCCTTTTCAGGGTTCTTACACCTTACACCCTCCTCTCAGCCTTTTTGCTGTCCTTTGAACACATTGCATCTCCCAACTCCATGTCTCCTGGCCCCTTGGCTGAGCCCCATACCTGAAATGTTCTTCCTCATTTCTGTCTCCTGGCTTATTCCAGTTTTAGCTTAGATCCCATCTTCTGAAAGAGCACCGCTCCCCAGGTTCCCCATCCCCCCCCAGCCACTGGTACCTTCCCTCCAACATTACCTTCAGCATACCTTCTTTCTTTTTGTGTGTAGTCGGTTGCGTGGTGTCTTCCCCCACTGGACTGGGAGCTCCTCGAGAGCGGGAATCATTTCTGTTTCTTTGTATCCTCAGCATTTAGTACAGTTGGTTTCTTGTACTTAGGAGGGGCTTAATAAATGCTTGGATGAGATGGTAGTTCCATGGATCAGCACTGAAACAAATATTTTGCCTATTTACATTTGGGTTCTTTAGGTGAGGAAGGTGTAAAGCTGAAAGTAGATCGCTTTGATCCTGGTCGAGAAGTACCTGGCTGCCTCAGAAAAGTCCCCACCGCCCCTCTGCCTGGAGACTTTGTGATTCCATGTACAGTTAACACGGAGGGCCTTTGCCCCACAGATGTGATCATCCACGATGCCGAAGACTTTAGTTCCATCTTCAAGGTGAGCTGCCTTTCATGACATGATTAATCTCAATTAAGAGAGAGAAAGGACCAAAATAGAAACTGGAAGGAAAACAAGCTCTCTGCCAAACTCCTATCTGGTTCTACTTAAAATGAGGTTTCTTAAGTAATTTTCTAGCAAATAAATTATCTATTTTCATTGGGAAAGAAACAGGGATACCTGATAGTTGCAGAATTTTGAAAAGCTATGTTCTAAAAATCATTTTCTAGAGCACTCTTGCAGGGAAGGGTGAGGAAGTCCAGTACTTGGCATGGACAGTAACCCCTGGACAGTAACATGGGAGCTTGATCCTTTGAGGTGAGGACTGGAGTTATTGACAGCTGGGTGGCTGGTGTCCCATTTCATACAAGAACCAGGGCTTTCCTTGTCTATGCTCACCATGCACACCCTGGAGCCCAGGGAGCTTTCTGAGGCATTTACAGTTGACCATGGGCCCTCTCTAGCACACAGAGCTGCTCTTTTTGTAGCTTGACCTTATGCTTGCTGACGAGAACCTTCATTCTCAACTCAAGATGGGGCCTAGGATTTCACTACTGTTGCTTCTCCTTCTCTGATGCATATGGCAGCCCTTCTGCCACTTAGCATATGGTCTTTGTGAGCTACTGTGGCTGAGAAGATCCAGTGGTTTTACCCCAGTTTTGGTAAGGCCTGTGCCCTTAGGGACCACAGAAATGGCCTCTCTCAGACCCCTCCCCAAAGCTTCTGCAGCTTGGTTGGATTTGCCTCATGGCATCTGAGGAGAACTCGAGTGGAGTTAAGAATTTGGCTTTTAACGGGTGGAGAGCTCTTGCCCTTCCTCATGGAAATTACTTTGTCTATGCTTGCTGGTTCTATTTGTATTTGTGTGACACTCCCCCAAAGAGTGTAAGCTGCTTCTTTTTTTTTTGTTTGTTTGTTTGTTTTTAGGCAAAGTGACTTGCCCAGGGTCACACAGCTAGTAAGTGTCAAGTGTTTGGTCTGAGGCCGGATTTGAACTCAGGTCCTCCTGACTCCAGGGCCTGTGCTTTATCCACTGTGCCACCTAGCTGCCCCCGAGTGTAAGCTTCTTGAGGGCCAGGTCTGCTTTGCTTTTGTCTGTGTCTCAGCTTGATAAACACATTCAGTTGATGAGTGGAATTGAACTAACTCCAAGGGAATAGGATTTCTTTTGACAAGAAGGGGGATTTGGGAAGTGGTGAATAAGGCCTAGAGGTCAAGTCCAACCTCCAGTGCTGTGTAAGGAAGGATGCCCAGCAGTATCCCTGACTAGTCGGAGCCCACTACCTCACTAGATAGTAAATTACTTATTGCGTTGACCCAAAATTGGCTTCCTTTTAACTTGTATCCATTGATCCTGCTTCTGCCTTTGGGAACCATACAGAGCAAGTCTTACTTATTTTCCGCTTGAGTGCCCCTCACCTACTTGAAAATGCTGTTGTGTCCCTCTCCAGGGGGACTATCCCCAGACCCTTCCCCATCCAGGACGTCCTTTTTCTGGATGCCTTCCAATATATTGGTCTTACTTAAAACGTGGTGTCCGTGACTAAACCTGATCTCTCCTACGCAGGCCAGAGGACACACAGTGGGGCCATTGTCTGCTGAACGAGGTCATGTAGACAGGTTGGTTTCTAGGTGAAGACGGAATATCTGGAGGGAGATGTCCCACTGGTGATGGTAGTGTTTATTAACTGTAGTGTTTTTTGTCCCTCCTCTCCTGGTCATGTGGCAGAAATGACAGAGAATTGAGAGGTGGTGGGCCCAGATCCCTCAGTGCTTCCTGAGTGTGCTGAAAGCCAAGGGGAGAGCAGCTCCTAAGCGTGCTGACCCATTGGAGCGGATGTGATGGTGGCGTGTTTTCTCCTAGGCTCTGCAGCACCATTTATGCGGCAAAGACCCTCTGGACCTCTGCAAGCTGCTCCCCTTGAGAGCAAGAGTCACCTCCAGGGAGCACCTGGACAACCTGCAGTTTGACTTCCACTGGGCAGCCGTGGCTCCTGCCAGTTCCTTTCGATGTACGCCTGTGAAGCCTCTCCCCATTATTCCAACAGCTCTGGCGAGAAACTTGAGCAGTCACATGAACATCGCTCAAATCCAGGGGACCTGTAAGTGGGGGTGAGTAATGAGTCTGTTCAGCGGAAATGTTTATGTTGTGACAGACTACCCAAGTAACTGGGACAGGCAGCTGTGAAAGGAGGTGAAGGGAAACTACCTCAATCTGTCTTGAGTTTGGTGCTTTTTAGCAGCCATGTATTTCATTTTTTCTCCAAGAAAAGTCAGGGAGTGGTAAAAGTATGTCAAATTTTCTTCCCAGTAGACACCGCTCATATTCTGAAAATCATAGACTTCAGATTTGAAAGTGAAAGGAAGCTTGGAAGAGGACACTGGCGGCCCCTCTGGGAGAGGGAGGGTGGGAGGTGGATGAAAAGCCTGCAGAGCCAGAAGGACCCCTGAGTTCATTAGCCTGGCCCTTAGCTCCCAAAGAGTTCTGCTGCTGCCTAGCCTGGATGCCCTGCCCTTGGTTGGTGTATTCAGGGGTGCTTGGGCTAGGCTGGCACATTTGTAAAGGTTTCTGGGCTCTTTGCCTGCCTCCAGATAAAACCAGTCCAGGCCCTAATCTGCTTAGGCCACCCATCCATAATGGCTTTGATGTTGGGGCTTTACTTTGCTGAACTAGAGAGCCACCCAAGGATGGCAATGAGGAGAACACCATCCACTTGTATCTTTTTATGGAAGTGAGTGAATCACAGGTGATTTAGATGCTATGTTGCTATTCCTTGAGATCCAGGACTAGAATTGGGAAGAGATCATCTTGTTCCTTCCTCTTCCTCACGGAACCTTCCCACTTTTTACAGAGGAAGAAGCTACCCCCAACATTAGGGGATGGGACCGGCCCACACAGCATTATGGAGGGAGTTGAGCGGAGATTCAAACCCAAGCCCTCTGACTCCCAATCTGGAGTTCTTTCTACTATTCCCCATCAATTTGGCTCATCCATCATACCTGGATTTCTAAACCATGTTAATCTGATTTGTCAGGAAACCAAATAGAGGAAGGTCACTGGGGGAAAATATGAATAAGGTCTCATTTCCATGATATATAAGGAACTGATTCAAATGTATAAGAATAAGAGCCATTACCTAGTTGTTTTTTTTTTTTTTTTTGGGCTAGGCAGTGGGGTTAAGTGACTTGCCCAGGGTCACACAGCTAGTGCATGTTATGTGTCTGAGGCTGGATTTGAACTCAGGTCCTCCTGACTTCAGGGCCAGTGCTCTATCCACTGCGCCACCTAGCTGCCCCAACCATTACCTAGTTTTTAAATGGTCTAAGAGATAATAGGCAAATTTCTGTGGAAGAAATCCAAGTCATCAATAGCCACATGAAAAAATGCCCAAATGCCTGGAAATTAGAAAAATGCAAATTAAAACCTCTCTGGAGTTCAGCTTCACACTGGTTGTATTGATAAAGCTGGCAAAAAAGAAAAATGACGAGTTGAAGGAACTGCTAGAAAATAGCCCTGTCAGTGAAACAGTGGATCCTTCTCCTTTTTCTTTGATCTCTTTGGGGTACAAGCCTAGTAGTGCTATGGCTGGATCAAAGAGTATGCACAGTTTTATAGCCCTGTGGGCATAGTTCTAAATTGTTATCCAGAATGATTGGACCAATTCAGAGTTCCACCAATAATGTATCAGTGTCCCTACTTTTTCACATGTATTTCACTATTATGATAATTGTGTTGTCTGTGATACAAATTTAGAAGAACTGAATGACCCCAGAATGTCTAAAAGCAAAGACTTAAAGAAAAACACAGCTTGGATGCAAGTTCAACTAAAATTTCTGTAAGAAATGAAACGAGAGTTTTTAAAAAAAAGAATTGAAAATTGATTTTATAAATGAAATGAGAGTGTTAGAGGAAAGAATAGGAAAAGAAATGAAAGTTATGAAGGAAATACTGGGAAAAATTAAGAGCTTAGCACAAAAAGTGCAAAACCATACCCAAGCAATGAACTCCTTGAAGGTAAGGTAAGAGAATAAGCATAAAGTGCCTACTATGTGCCAGGCATTGTGCTAAGTTTTTAAAAAATATTCTCTCATTGGATTCTCACAACAAATCTGTGAGGCATGTATTATTATTATCCTCATTTTACATTTGAGGAAACTGAGGCAGAGACAGGGTCACAGAATTTGAACTGAGATCTTCCTGACTCTAGGCCTAGTTCTCTATCCACTAAATCATCTAGCTGCCTTGGTAATTAGGATAGCCCAAACAGAAGTTAATGATTCCACAATACAAAAAGAAGTATTAAAAAAAAGGTTAAAAGACAGAAAAAATAAAGAAAACATAGGTATCTAATATTTTAAAAAAACAAAACAAAACTTAGAAAACAGATCAAGGAGAAATGATTTATTAGATTGCTTAATATATAGTAATTATATGATATACTATAATAATAATTAGATTGCCTGACAGTCATGACCAAAACCAAAACCTGCGTATCATATTTCAATAAATCATAAGAGAAAATTGCTTAAGGCAAAGTAAAAATAAGGAGAACCCACTGATAAACTCCTGGAAGGAACTCCAAAATGGAAATTCCCAGGAACAGCGGAAAGAAAAGGCTCCCATGCTGGGACATGGTGGAGAAGACCAGAGGGTCAGAAGCAGAGCCTGGAGAGGAATGAAGGCTAGCTGGCCTGGGCCCCTTCCCAAATGAAGGTCCCAGGAGGAACTCTCCAGTGGGGAAAGGGGCTGCAGAGATTGAATGATATTCTAGGGTGAGAAGGCAGCTGAGGCAGAGCTGAGAGAGATCAAAGAAAAAAAAATGCTGGAAGCAGCTAGAATGAAAGAATTCAAGTACTGAGGAGCCATAGTCAGGATCACATAAGATTTAACAACTGCCACCTTAAGGGATCAGAGATCTTGGAATACAAGTATCTGGACTTTGACCTGTCTACATGGCTCCGTAGTGATAGTGGCTATTTCGTACTCTTCTTTCTTGTTTACAGTTTGTTTCTCTAGTAGGTAAAGCATTTTTGTGGATAAAAGTACATACATCACACTAGCTTCCAGTTAAAAATGAAATAACTGTTCTTCTCTTTCAGGTATCTTACAATGGATGAAACACGCAAGCTGTTGCTGTTGCTTGAATCAGACCCCAAGGTTTATTCTCTGCCATTAGTTGGGATGTGAGTGTTGCAGTATTTATGGAAAGTGTTTTTGCCAAAGCACATATAAGCAGCAGATGTATTTGCAGCAAATAGTGGTTTAAGAAGTGTTCCTGATTGATTTAAAAGGAAACAAATAGCAACAGTTTACCAAAAGGTTTTAGTTAGCATTTGGATCACCTGCCAAACCCAGAGAGAGAATTCTATCAAAGGTCACTTTAATCATCCTGGGTTTTATACTGCAGAGTGGGGTTGGAGCAGTTCTCATGGGAATGTGTTCATTCAGTAAAGTTTTGTTGAGCACTCATGTTGCAGGGCATCTTGTCAGATCCTGTGAGGGACATAGAGGAGTATACAAGACACAGTCTTTGCTCTTGAGTTGATTTATTATCTAGTTCAAGAGGAAAATGAAAAGAGAAATAGGGGAGGCAACCATAATGTCAGTGGAAGGAGAGTGTAGGGCCTGAAGTCAAAAGATGTGGGTTCAAATACTATTCCAACCACACACTTTCTCAAAGACATGGTCTCTAAGTCTGTAATACCCATCTCTTTTTAAAACATTCTTTTAAAAATATTGGGAGCTTGACAAACGTCAACAAACATGGGCATTTCCAGACAAGAAAGAACAGGAAAAGGGGATCGTATATGAAATTGTGAATCTCTATTATGTACAAGTTGGGTTTTTTGAAAGTATATGTTAAATTTCACATGGTAGTTCTGACACTACCCTGCTTGTCTGTGTCCCCTTCTGAACATCTTTCTGTTCCCTTCTCTGTAATTTAAGAAATTTCAATGATGCTTTTTTCCCTTTTCTTCTTTTTTTTTTTTGGAGGGCTATCACTATTGCTTTTTTCTTCTCTCCATAACTCCCCTCCTCACAAAAAAGTCCTCCTGTATAACAAATAAGTATCATCAAGCAAAACAGGTTCCTATATTGGCTGTGTCTAATGGTATATTTGTCCTTCTGTACCTTCTAGCCCTATCAGACTTGAGTTATGGTGGGTCATTGAACTCATCAGAATTCTTGGGTCTTTCAGAGCTGTTTTCTTTTACAGTCTTATGTGTAGTCAGTGTATAAATTGTTCTCCTGCTCATTTCATTCTGATCCAGTTCATGCAAGAATTCCTGGTTTCTCTGAAACCATCCCCTTCATCATTTCTGGCAGCATAGTAATATTCCATCTCTTTCATAGCCCATAACTTCTTCAGCCTTCCCCAAGTAGGTGGTTACCCTTAGTTACAATAAGCAGAGCTGTGACGCTCTCACTGGGGGAGAGGCTGTTGAGGGGGGTGCACAGCTTAGACACTTGGGGAGCAGTTCCAAAGGGCCTTCCAGAGTGGTGGCTGTACCACCAGCGCCCCCTGGGCCTGTCTGCCTACAGCTCCTAAGTGGGGATAACCCTGGCACCACAGGCCTCATGGGGCTGTGATGAAATGTACCCTTTGTATGCCTTAATGCACTGTAGAAATGTGGCTGACTGTTACCATGCCATGGGTAACAAAGGACCAACTGTGTCCTAGCCTTGAGCATCTCTGGCTAAAGGAGCAGTTACTGTGGGATGTTATGTGACGGCTGGACATCGATCTTTGCCCTGAAGGATTTGGGTGTTTTGAGTCAGCAGATGGGGGATGGGGGGCAAAGGAATGAGTAGAGTGACTGAGGTAGGCCTGGGAAGAGGTTTGAGGTGGGGGCCGTGCACGCCTGCACCCTCTGGTGGCCCCTGTGACAGCTCCAAGTTATTGATGCCTGCATTCTTCTGGTTTAGATAAAAACTCATTCACAACATCAAACCAGAATCTGGGCTGATCAAGTCCCCTTTCTCTAGTTCAGCAGTTTCTTTCCCCTCTGATCCTTGATCTTTTTTCCAATTGGCAGGAATGGCTATTAGGGGCTCCATCCATAGGCCCCCTGCATCCTCCCTCTGTCCCTCCCCCCCCTTCATCATCAGAATGGGGTTCTAGTACTTCCTTGTGCTGAGGACCTGTTGGGTTTTCACTGCTTTGGGGTCTGTGGTTTTGTGGTTTGGGGTATTCCGTCTGTATATAGGGGATTTGAGAATGACTGTGACTGAATAATTCATCCCCAGGCAGCGAGACTGGTGAGGCCGCCAGATGTGGAGTCCATTCACCTCTGCAGCGTAATTTTTATTATTGTTATGTATTGCATTTTCTTTTGTATTGTGTGCGTGTGTGTGTGTGATATCTGCCATGAGGGTAGGGGGACTGTAGCTAATATGTGTCCCTGGGTGCCTAGTATAGTGCTTTGCACATCCTTCAGGCATAATAATGTTTTCCGTGCCTCATAGGAATTCTTTTTTGACCTTTTCTCTTTTGCAGTTGGCTGTCTGGCGTCACTCACATCTATAGCCCCCGGGTATGGGCGTATTGCCTGCGCTATGTGTTCAGTGCTGCAGTTCAGGAAAGGTAAGTGCGATTTGTCCTGCGATCCGTCTTTAATTACCAAATGTTCACAGACAGCATTTAGAAATGACCTCAGATGGTCTGCTCCACCCTGTACCTGAATGGGGCCGGGTCACGGTGCCCACAGTTCTGAGAAATCACACCTTGTTGCGTCCTTCAATCCAACATGTTAATAGCAGGTGAAAGAAAATTAGCAAAGACGTTCTGATCTACTCAGAACTAGGGTTTTGGCTTATGTATTGGAACCAGGTGCCACATGCTTCCTACAGTTGTGGGATGGAAAGACATGGGTCTGCTGGAGAAGGTCATATATAAAAGTCTGCCAGTTCCCTTCTCAGACCTTCATCAACCACACCTTTGATGCGTGCTGGCTAAGAGGCCATGTTGGCTGATGGGTCACTTTTTAGATGATTAGTCTTCTTGCTCTGGACCATTGACTTTCACTGATTAAACTTCCACGTGAAATTATCATTCTCAACATTTGTGTCCTTTCTTCCATTCATTTTCTAATTTTTGGCACCAGTAACTTATTTAAATTGTTCTGGATAGAATTGTTTTAGTTGTGTGCAAAATCTTTTTCTTGTTTTTAGTATTCTAATTTTCTCTCAGTTTTTATCTTTGCTCTAACAAGTTAACAGTATAACTACACAGATAAATGAGTCAGGAGTGAATCCCACATCAGGAATGAGTTGTTTCCCTTTCTGTTAATATGTCAGTTTTGGGTTTTGTGTGTGTGTGTGTGTCTGTGTGTCTGTGTGTGTGTGTATGTGAGATGTTATTCAGTGTCCAACACCTTGAATTCACTTCTTTTTTTTTTTAATTAAATTTGGTTTTTTGTTACATTTTAAGTTCTGAAATTTATTTATCTATTTATTTTGGGTGAAGCGGGGTTAAGTGACTTGCCCCGAATCACACAGCTAGTAAGTGTTAGTTGTCTGAGACTGGATTTGAACTCAGGCCCTCCTGACTCCGGGGCTGGTGCTCAATCCACTGCACCACCTAGCTGCCCCTACATTTTAAGTTCTAAACCATCTTTCTCCCTCCCTCCCCACTCCGCACTCGAGCAGGCCACCATTTGCTGTGGCTAAAAGATTCCTCACCAAGAGGCCAGGCTGTTAGTGATGGGCCTGTCTGGACTTAGCCAGGATGGTCTTTGAAATGCAGTTAATCTGTTGCTAGGACCATACATTGATTTAATGCCACCAATTTGAATTTGCCTCTTATGTATTCTGTTACATAGCACAGGGGCCATAGGTGGATGTCCTGAGTTAAAATACTTTACCAGTAACTGTGTGAAAAAAACTTGGGGAATTTAATGGATTAAGAGATTGATTCTAAGTAATTGATCCACCAAGACAGGCTCCCGTGGTCTTAGGCTAGTTGAAGAGAGCCAGAGCTCCCAGAACAAGGGGATGCCAGTCCCTCCATCCTCTGCCCTGGTCTGGTCCAGCTGGGTGGGGTGTGCAGGGCCAGGAGAGGGCCATGAGAAAAGTGCATACCGTGCTGTAGCAGAGACCTGATGAAGCAGCAAGGGATGTTTAGCCTAGAGCGGCAAAGACTCAGGTCAGGATGGAATAGCAGTCTTCATTGTCTGGGGAAGGAGACCGGACTCAGGCCGCTGGACCACGGGCAAAGTTGCAGAGCCAGAATTAGGGTCAGTGTAAGCAAAAGCTCCCTAACCGGCTTATGCCAGTGTGCCAGAGGGACCTTTGGTTTGTCGCTTCCTGGCATTTGGGGGTTGTGAAAGACCTTAGAAGTAACTGGATCGCTCCCATTTTACACATGAAGGAGCTGGGCCTCCTAGAGGCTGGAAAAGTAATTTTTATGTTCTTTCAATCACTTTGTGACTAAAATAAAGAGATTCAAAAGAATTTGTAATTAGTTACATGAATGGTCTTTCTTCACCATCATCATCATCACAAACCATATTTCTTACTAGGTTGAAAAACATTAGAATTATGTATAGTTTTCTTGGGGTGTAGGGTATTTGGCTGTGCTATGGGTGTGAGTGGGTGTGTCCATAGATGCTCAGTAGGCCTAGAAAGGCAAGCTTCAGACTGGGCATTTAGAACAATTTTAAGTTGCTGCTATTTATTTATTGTTTATATTTTATTTTTAAGTTGTTATTTAGCATAGTTTAAAAGGTCTATTGAATAATGTTGGCTGAATTATTAATTATTCATGAACCTGATATTCAATGAATTAATCATGAAGAGTGTAATAAGTCTACAAAAATCCACCTTGAGCTTTAATTAATGACAGTATTCAATCAGTCTTCTTGTTAAGTTGGTAACTTCTTTGGAAGTTTTTAAAGCACACTTTAAGCATACCAAATTAATTCTCATCGGTGGCACATTATTTGTAGGGTTTTTTCCGAGTCTGGAAGTTTTGTCATCATTCTCTACTCCGTAACACACAAACAGCCAGAATTTTATGAGTGCGTTCTCCAAAGCGGCCAGGGAAGTGACCTCCACTTTCAGCTACTAACCAACAAGGAAACCCTACATCTTTTCAAAGTAAGTGGTTTGGTTACTTATCATTGTTGTTATCCAGTTTATTCAGTCCTGTCTGACTCTTTGTGATCCCATGTGGGGTTTTCTTGGCAAAGATCCTGGAGTGGTTTGCCATTTCCTTCTCCAGCTCATTTTCCAGATGAGCAAACTGAGGTAAACAGGGTTAAGTGACTTGCCCAGCATCACCATGTCACTTGGTATTTATAGTAGCAGTTTAGCAACATAAACCTGATGTTTTGACCTTTTAGAAATATCTTTGTTATTAAATCAGTATACTTGGCCACTCAGGATTCATGGCATTATTGCTAAGGCTGTCCACTCATAAGAGACTGAATAGCCCTTCAGGTGTATGGCTGGGGTCAGAACAAAGAACATCACTGAGGCTGCTCTCTGTAGACCCTTGACTTGCAGGCCAACAAAACACATATGTCTGTGGCAGCCTCTGTTCCTGCCCTGCCCTACCCTTCTACTGCTTTGACAGTGTTGGAATGTTTCCTGTCAAACTGAAGGAATTGAGATTTTTTTTTCCACTTAGGTCAGTGTGTTAGTTTGCATAATTTAAACTCACACAGACCAAAGCAGTGTCTAGTTAGAGCATGCATGGAAGAAGAGCTCAGAGTGGTGGACCACTTGGCAGCAGCTGCCAGCCCAGAGGAAAGCTGCCCATCTTCCTCATTCCTAATTTAGCAAAAACCCAGAATTGGCCCCCAGACCAATGAGAAGCTGTAGCAAGTAACTCCTTGGACCCTAACACTGCACACAAAGTCAGCAAGCAATCCATGGGAAATAAGAAAGGGGCAATTAGCAAATCCAGTGCCGTTGCAGGCCAACAAGCCCATGGGGTCCCATCATCACCAGGGAAGGCCCAGAGCTCTGTGATCTAGAAGCAGCCAGAGTGAGAGCTCTGCTGAAAGAGCCTCAGGGCAGGTGTAAACCAGTAACGGCACTACTGGGAAGTAGCAGCTACCATTGCAGACACGGCGAGAGCTGACATTGCCCCAAGGTGCTGTCGAGGGCTCTGGCCTCTAAAGAGCCAGGGTTTGGAATCTCAAAGATCCAGTGGGGTCTAACCCAAGGAGGTGAAAGGTTTGACGTTCCACCCAAAAGTGTAGCGTGGGCAGAGCCTGGCCGCGGCACAAAGCTCTAGGTCTACAACTAACACTGGTGAGAGGAATAGATCCAAGCAAACACTGTCCAGCTTAAAGAATTATTGAAAATCAGGGCATTCTCAAAACAGGAGAGAATAACTGCGTAAAAACTGCTTGTAGAGACTCGAAGGAAGATGTCGATATTCTGCAAGAACCACATGGATCCCTAGATGAGATGAAGCAAGAGACAGACATGAGATAGAAACTCTGAAGGAGAGTGTTAGAACTGCATAGAAGGGAAAGTGCTGAACTTTACTCAAGTTATGGGCTCCTGGAAAACTAGACCAGATACCCTAGAGATCAGTGACTCTAGGAAATAGTAAGAAATATTCCAACAAAATCCAAAGATTGAAAAGGTTGAAGAAAATGTCAACTACCTGTTAGCAAAGACCATGACCTGGGAAGCATGTCAAGGAAAAGACTTTCAAATCATTGAGCTTCCTGAAAACTATGGTTTTAAAAAAGCCTGGACATTGTATTTCAAGAATTCACATGTTAAAGTTGTCCATATCTCACAGAATCAGAAGGCAGAGTGAAGATGGAAAATGTGCAGACATACATGTGTGCATGGGCCCCTACACACACAGAGGCACACAACAATGCGTGCACACACTCAGTGCACACATGCACACACTTGCACATGCACCTATGTACACACATGCACACACATACACATGTGCACACACACTCTCTAACCCTTTGTAATCTCACTTCTGACCTCATCCATCACTCAGCTGAAACTACCATTTCCAGAGTTACCAGTAATCTCTTAATTTCCAGATCCAACGGCCTCTTCCTTGACCTTTCTGTGGCCTTCAGCACTGTTGACCACCCTCTTTTTGAAGAAAATCTCTCTGGGTTTTTATAACAGAGATCTCTGTCTGACCAACCCTTTCCAGGCTTCTTTGCTGGCTCACCACTCATATCCCATCACTTACCCCAAGTTTCTGTCCTGGGCCTTCCCTCTCTCCAGTCTCTTGGCGACCTTATTTGCTCCCATGGGTCTAATTATCATCTCCAAGCCCATGACTTCTAGATCTCTGTATGATCTCGTGTGATCTCCAGGCCTGTATCACCATCTGTCTGATGGAGCTTTCAAACTGAATGTTCCATGGGTACCTGAAACTCAGCTGATCCAAAACAAAACTCACTAACTTTCCTCCAAAATCCACCCCTCCACTGAGCTGCCTATTTCTATCAAGGCTGCTGCCATCTTTGAGGCTCAAAACCTTCATCCAGTCTGGATGCCTCACTCACCCTCCCTCACCTGACGTGCCCAGTCAGGTGCCAAATATTATTGAACGTACATTTGCCCCAGCCTCTCATCGCTGTCCCCTTCTTTCAACACACACATACACACACAGTATCTCCACCCAAGTTCAGATCCTTGTATTCTTGCCTGGACTTTTGTATACACCTCCCAGTTAGTCTCCTTATCCCCAGTCTTTCCTCCATTTGCCAAAGCACAGGTCAGACCATGTCACTGCCTTTCTCGGTAAACCTCAGTGACGTCCTGTTACCTCTAGGATCAAATACAAACTTTTCACCAAGCACGTAAAGCCCTTCCCAGCCTGGTTCCCTGCCCCCCTCTTTTCCAGCCTTATCCGCGTTACTTCTGGCCCAACACTCTGGGGTCTGGCCAAAGCGGCCCACTTCTGTTCCTCCCCCATGGTGTCCCTCTTCTTGCCCTTTACCCAGGCTGGCCTCTCCCATGTCTGGAATGTGTTCCCTGCTCACCTCCTACAAGTCATCCCTAGTCTCTGTCAGAGCCCATCTCGAGCATCGCCCTCTCTACCTCGGAGGCGTCCCATGAGCCTCACAGCTGGCAGAGCCTCCTCTGACAAGTGACCTTTATAGACTTGTTTACGTAGTTGTCTTCCAAAAGAGCGTGTGTGCCTGACACAGTACCTGGAGATCTCTGTGAAGAGACTGCTCTGTGGGGATCCCTGGTGACACCTCATAGACCTGGTAGGAAGAAATTATGGGCATGATTTTGAGTCGTGGGTTGTCGGCCGGTTTGTATTCACGTTAGTGACTTATTTCTAGTTTGAAGCTATTTGTCATTTACATGTGTGTTGTTCAATCCTGTGTTTGCTGACATGTGGCTTCAGAATTATGCAGATCAATTGTCATTTTAATGAGTTGTATTATATATTGGGGGCTTTCCCTCTTGGAACCAACAGATGAAGAAAAGAAATGGTTGTGCTTACTCAAGTCGGGTCAGTTCCTTCCCCCTCCTCCCTTTTCTCCTCTGCTCCGTCTCTGTCTCTGTCTCTGTCTCTTTCTCTGTGTCTCTGTCTCTCTCTCTGTGTCGCTGTCTCTCTGTCTGTCTCTCTTCTATTATTTCTGGGTGGCAGGGACGGGGCTGCTTTTGGCTTCTCAGGTTCAGACCAGGCCTGGGACCCATGGGTGGCAGTGAAGCAGTAACAGTTGTCTCTTTGTATCCTTTTTGTGGGAGGGAACACTCCGTCGGTCATTTGTGTGCCAACCAGAAAGCCAATAATTCGAGGAGATGTGGATCTGACAGCATTTCTGTTTCTCTAACACCTCTGACTTGTCCATTTCAGAATGTTGAGCCTTCACAGAAGAGCTCTCTCCAGTTTGAACTGAGCTCAGAAAACCCATCTGCAGAAGCAACATTCTTTAACCAAGTCTCCAGGAATCATGCCATGAAGAGGTAAGGGATGGTTTTTTGGTTACCGTGATATTAAGATTTCATAATGAAAAGTTAAAACCCCAAATTCCCAATCTTTCCTGTAAACATTTCTGATGAAAATGCCCGCCGTCACCTTGTAGCTGTTTTATGAATATTTCGTCTATACCTTTGTACATCTGTAGGTTTCTCTTGACAGAATGTAAGTTCCCTGAGGGCAGGCACTTGTGTCTTTGTGTCTGATCCTCAGCCCTGGCCCACAGAGACTTAACAGATGCTGGAGGACTGAGAAGACTGCTTTGGAGTGTGCCTTGCTGACCTGAATGATACGTCTTGGCTTGGAATCTCTAGCAGTCCCCATTCCTATTGTGCTTTCAAGTGTACAAAGCACTTTCCTCACAGCAGACTTGTGTGTATCGATTCATACATCTGTTTTACAGATAGAGAAAGTGAGGCACAAACAGGTTAAGTTTCTTGCCCAGGATCATGCCAGTCAGTAAGAGTTAGAGATGGCATTTGAACCCAAGTTCATCTCAGTCTCAATTCAAGTTCCAGGTTCTTTCCACTACATTTTTTTTTTTTTTTGGTATTAAATAGATTTTTTCAGTTTGACTAGGAAAATAAGGGAGTGTCTTTTGCTTTTGTATGCACCTAGTGCAGTCTCTGGCATATAGCAGATGCTTGATAAATGCTTGCTGACTTGACGTCTTCAGCAGGTTCTGGAAGGTCTAGTAAGGCTCTTTCCCAGCTCTCTGACTGTAACCTACACCTGGTCCTTAGTACTGTCCTACTCCTTCCAGTAAGCAGTCATGGGAGAGGATTTCTTGCTCCTTATCTGATTGGTCTTACCTCTGCAGACCAGAACATGCCCATGGGTGACTGATTGCTCTTTTTATTCTCCTACCATCAGGGCTTCCCAGAAGTTGTCCCCGGGGCAGCAGCTCTCTGTAAGCGACCATGATTCTGGCGTGGAAGATGAAGATTTGTCCCCAAGACCAGTCCCTAATCCTCACCCAGTGAGTCAGAAGGTATTCCAGCCAGGACGTGGGGGTGGGATTCTACATGAGGCTGTCCTTGCTAGGGAGTCAAGTGCCCCGAGGGCATTAAAGAAGAGTCCAGGTCTTTGTAAGGGCAAAAGCGTGTCCCCTGCGGCTCTTTATTTCATCATCACTGCCGTTCCCCTTGGAAGCAGGGCTTCTGTTTGTGTGACCTTGGACAGGTCACTTAGCCTCTGTGGTCCTCAGTTTCCTCATCTATAAAATGGGAATGATAATACTGGCACTGTCACGTGGTTCTTTGAGGAAAACCCTTAAAAGAACTACAAAAATGGAAGCTGGTCAAGTTAGAGAGGTGGGGTAGGTTCTCTTTAGAGAAGGTGATGGGGCGTGGGCATCAACGCTAACATGGGATTTAGATTGAGTTACTCCAGTGAGAGGCTGGTTTTGTTTCTGCCTTCCTGACAGCATCACTCTGGTAGCCGCTGTCTCGGCCTTGATGAAGGCGGGCCTGGTGCCCGGTGACCGGTCGTGAGGGAGGGCAGGCAGTGCCGGCCATTCATTTAGACCATGCCAACTTCCAGTCCCTTGAAGATGTGCTCGCGGGGATTTTTGTGCTTAGCTGCTGACTGTCCAAGTAAGGTGACGGGTTCTTAAAAAAGTGATGAATTCTGTCTCCATCCCCCCCATGCCCACCCCCTTCCCCCTTTTATTTCCAGGTATCTACCATCCATCCTTCAGTTCCTGAGCTCTCTCTGGTTTTGGATGGTAGCTTTATAGACTCAAGCCCACCGCCCAGTGAAAGGAAAATGGCCAATTGCAAAACCAGCCCTTCATTGCCGCAGTATCCAGGACAGATGAGCTCACATCCTCAGCATTGTGACGAGAAACAGAGCCCCATTCATGAAGCTGAGGAGCCTCGTTTGGGGCGGCTCCCAAGTCGGGCAGGCCCGGGAGCCCCTTCTTCAAAACCACTCAGAGAAAAGCGGTCGCCTCCCGACAGGCGAGCTGGCCCCCCGACCGGGAGTCTGTCAGGGCCGCTTTGCTCATCTCCACCGTCTCCCTCAGGGCTCCCCAAACCGTTGTCTCCAGAGGCATCAGTGCAGAAACCAAAACAGTCCTCTGAAAGCCATAACACTTCCTCGGATGGAGACCCGTGGCGAGGGGCCCTTCCTGTGCCATGCTCCGCACTGGATTCCAGGCAGGCCTCTCCTTCACCACAGTGGCTCCCCCACGGGTTTGTTCTTTCACCCCAGAATCTTGGCAGGCCCACTGAACATCAGGGGCCTGCTCCCCCAGCCCCATCTTACTGTCCCACTAATGTTTGCAGCTGCTGTCAACATCATGGACATCTGCAGTGTGGTCGAATGAACATTTGGTCAGGGATACATAAACACGGGCCCTTTCAGGAAGTCCAGGCTAATGCTTTTCAGGATGGTTCCTATCCATTTCATCTGAATGCCTGTCCAGCTATATGCCATAATCCAGTAAATTCTTCAGGCAGCCCTATGATCCAGAGACAGCAAGGGAACATGGGAAATTGTAGCACTTCAGACTTATCACCTATGGGGAGACTTGCCTCCTACTCCAGCAATCCACAGCTTTGCCCAATGTGCATGTCCACACCCAAGATGCAAGCTGATGATGGCATGATGGGGTTATCTCCAGATGCCTACCGGTTCCTTAAAGAGCAAGACCGACAGTTGAAGTTACTTCAGGCTCAGGTTGGTGTGTTGTTATTTTATAATTAACCTCTCTAGAAAATGAATGCACGTTGTCCTCTGGTCCCTGTGTTTTTGTTTTTAAGGGACAACAAACTCTTTGGCTTTGCTTGAAAGAGTTGGGGGAATTGAAGGAAAAATGTTTAAGATTTGTTTCAAGTTTCGAATACCCTAGCTAAACATGAACTCTTTTTGAAAGACGTCCTCCTCCTCATTCTGGGCACCACGTGTTAGGAAGAGCATTGATACGCTGCAGAGTGTTCAGAGGAGGGCAGCTGGGGTGGTCAGTGTTCTTGAGCTCCTGTTTTATGGGGATGGGTTGGGGGAATGTTTTGCCGGCGAGAAGAGAAGACCTGGGGAGACATGATACCTGTCTTTAAAAGGCCTCCCTACTCAGTGCTGGGGGTATAAATGCCAGAGTGCCTGCCCTGTGGGAGCTTCCGTTGTCTTATGGTGATACAGCACCTCGCGGGGGTGGCCATCCCAGGGAGCTTTGGCTCATTGGCCCTGGGTATCGCAGGGGGAGCCCTAGGGCAGTAAGCCACCGTGCCCTCGCCAGTATTAATGGTCATTTTGTTTGTTTGTTGTTCCCTGAGCAGGAGTGGAAGGGAGGGAAGGGTGAAAATACAGATGGTAACAGGGCAGAGTGCGAGGTGCTCAAGCTGGGCAAGCCCTGCCCTCGTAGGGATAGCTGGATGGGTTGGAGCCTGGTCTAGGGCTGCCTGGAGAGAGGACAGAGTTGACTCAAGTGCCCTCGGTTGGGCAGTTCTGCACCGTGGGGAGTCCTGGCGGGGGAGGGGGGGTGTGGATTGAGTTTCCTGGGATAGGCAGGCCAAATTTCTGAAGGTCTGGGTCTGCAGGGTCACCCTTACTGGTAGGGAGCACTGGCAGGGCCAAAGGCACACGTCAGGCTTTCTTTCCTGTCTAGTGTTTGAAGGGCTGCCATGTAGAAGAGTAATTGCATTAGGTCTGCCGGCCCCTGAGGGCACAACCAGAAGTAATGGATAGAAAGGAAGGGAACAAGCATTTATTAAGTGCCTACTGTGTACCAGGTGCTGCACTAAGCCCTTCACAAATGCCTCATTTCAATGGGAATTGACGAAGTAGTAGGTGTAGGCTTGATAGCCTGCGAATCGTGCTTATGATTACCATCTTTGAAAGTGGAATGCGCCCTGTTCCCTCTGCCGTGGGCGCTCGTGTCCTGGGGAGAAGTTCCTGGGTGCCCCTCGGCAGTGTGCTTGGAGGAGGGATGCAGTGGCCCCAGGGGCATCCGCAGTCTGCCCAAACTGGACGTTCTGGGCTTCCTGGGTTCTGCAGCAGCACACCCACAATGTTTTCCTCCCAGGGGCGGGTTTTGGTGGAAGTCCAGAGGGAAACAATGATAGAAGAAATCTTATTTGAAGATTTATATGTGCCAGCGCACATTAGTAAGGTGCACAGTGATGATGGACCTTGGGAAAGAGAAATCTGCTGATAACTTTTAAAAATGTATATGTAATAGGATGAATCAGTGTAACAATGCATTCAAGTCATTAAAACAAAACAAAACAAAAGTCTTAGTATGAGATGGTCTTCTTTCGGTAACCAGATTCATTATCAACTAGCCCTGTGTGTGCAGAAATACTCATGATTTGGCATGTGTTGGTGCTGCCAGCTCTTCCGCCTTCAGCCTCAAGCTCTTTGCCCCCGGGGTCGTCCCCCCCCCCCCCCCCCCCGCCCCAGTCTGGGATGTGCTCTCTCCTCCCCTGCCCTGTAGGATCCCTTTTTCCTGAAGATTCAAAGAGGAACTTAAACTGGGCAGGGGGAAGGGGCTGCTAAGGACCCTTCCACCTCTTGGAATTCTGGGATCCCCCAGTTAGTAGCACTCTCTGTCATGAAATGACTTTGTATTTACTCGTGTATGCAGTTTTATTCCTCCAGCAGAATGTAAGCTTCTTGAGGGCAGGCCCTTCTGTTTTCCTGGCACAAAGTACAATGACTTGGCATACAGTAGGCACTTAATACATGTTTGGTAAACTGTATTGACTGTGGCCAGTATATGCTAGAGTATTTGTAGGAGACAGAATGTTGGGCTTAGGGGCAGTTAGGTGGCTCAGTGGATAGAGCTCTGGCCTTGGAGTCAGGAGGACCTGAGTTCAAATCCAGTCTCAGACACTTGACACTTACTAGCTGTATGACCCTGGACAAGTCACTTAAGCCTAATTGCCTCACCAAAAAGCAAAAAAAAAAAAAAAAAAAAAAAAAGAATATTGGGTTTCGAGTTGGATGCCCCAGGTTCTAATCCCAATGCCTTGTTGGGATGAGCCTCAGCAAGCCACTGCTCAGTCCATTTCTGCCTCTAGAATCCAGGCATTGAGCTGGACGTGCTCTAGAACCCCTTCTATCTCTAAAACCTGTCGCCTGATGGAAGTGTATCTGGATACCTGCTGATAGCATCAAGGAATAGGAGATGTTTCTTTGTGGGTGAATTTTCCTTTTTTCCTGGACCATTCTAGTCAGGGACCTGTCCATCAGGACCTTGCTGCAGAGTAGATAGGCATTCTCTCTGCAACTTGGATTTGCTGGATTACTGAGAAGCTAGGTGGCCAGCTCAGGCCCTGAGAGTTAGTATGGCGCAGGTGCGGAACTGGGAGCCAGGCCTTTCTGCCTCTGAGGCAGCTCTTTCCACTGGGCCCTTTTGGGTTAAATAAGGACAAATATTAGATTGTTTATCATTCCAGCCTCTCCCTAGAACCCCAGCATGATTATATTCTCTGGCTCTTGAATTTATTCTAGGGGGAAAGTGTTGGGGTCTTAATAAAAATAAGGATAAATTTGTAGTACTGTGTTAAATTGAGAGGCAGCTCATTGGAGTAGAAGGAACTCGTGGTGAATGAATGTGTTTCCTGGTAGGTCCCTCTGGGGACGGGCTGAGCCCGTCTCTGAGAAGTGCCCAGAGCTTCAGCTTTTTTCAGTCATCAGACTCAGGTAACCTTCTTTCTCCCCAGTTAATTCATCTGTGTTTTGCTTGGTACAGATTCAGCGTTTGTTAGAAGCACAGTCTCCTCACCCTGGCCCCAAGGCAGCCAGTTCTGATGGCACCGTGCAGGCTGAGCAGCAGGTGGAGTTTGTTTCGATGGAGGCCCAGGCATCTTCTGGCCTGCACCTGAGGAAAAGTGTGAGCATCGCTGTGAGCACAGGTAACTCCTCATTTTGTGGCTTGGGAGAATTATTCTGAGATGTTTGCACAACGTACCATGCTGACATTTCCAGGTATGGAGTGAGAATAGGATCAGAAAGAATCAGGTCAGGATTTGTACCCAGGGCTACTGATTCATCAGGTGGTTTTGTCTGAGCAAACCTTTTATTGTCCAGTTTACAATTTCTACAGGAAGTTTAGACCTTGTGGTCAGATTAGAACATCATCCTTCTTTCTTAAGCCTCAGTGTTATAGTAGGTGCATTTGCTTGTTGCCTGCAAGCCCTCTCTGCCTAGCACTCGGTCCCAGGTCATCCCCACTGCCAAAGCTCCAGGGGCTGGTGATAATACCTTCCTCTCAGAACACTCTGAATCATAGAATTTCAGTGTTAGAAGAAATATCTCATGTCCAACCTATATATGTACAGGAATCCCCTTTTCCAACACCCCCGGCAAGTCAGTCAGTCAGTAAACATTTCTTAGCCACCCACTATGTGCCAGGCCCCGTGCTAAGTGCTGAGGATACAAAGGAAAAGACAGTCCCTGTTCCCATGGAGCTCACAGTCTAATGAGGGAGGCAAAATGCAACCAGCTGTGGATAAGCAAAATATTGTTGGTATTTAGTCCTTTCAATTCTGACTCTTTGTGACCTTTATCTTGGCAAAGATACTGGAGTACTTTGCCATTTCCTTCTCCAGTTCATTTATGGATGAGGAAACCAAGGCCAACAGGGTTAAGTGACTTGCCCAGGGTCACACAGTTAGTACGTATCTGGGGCCATATTTGAACTCAGGTCTTCCTGACTCCAGGCCTGGCGCTCCATCCACTGTAGCGCCACCTAGCTGCCCAAGCAAGCTATAGATGGATAAATTGGAGATAAGAGAGGGAAGGCAGGAAAGGAGGAGAGGAGGGGGCTGGGAAGAAGTCTTAAGTGAGGGGGTGACAGTCCTTACCTGGATGTGCCTTGGAGGCCTCTAGGGAGAGGAGGAGATGGTCTGTGTGTTTGACAGTGCTGACCACCCACCCCTCCCACCTGGCTCATCCTTCCTCTTCCCTTGCCTCAACCCTCTAACTGCTTTCTCTGTTTCTGGTTCCTCCTCTTCTTAGCCCCATCGCAGGCATGTCCTCCAAGGGTCTGTCCCTGGTCCTCTCCGCTCCACTTTCCCTCCTTCGACGCCTTCTTTCTTTGCCCTGGCTGTGGTCACTGCTTCTGTGCAGCATCTAAATTGGGCCTGCCCTGGGAGCCCCAAAGCTTTTCCTCCAACTCCTCCTTGGCCTACTTGGCCCAGGCGTGTCGCACTCCCTTTAGGGATGGTGGCTTTCCTCCTGATTTCTCTTATTTCTCTTGGGGTACCACAGCTCCCCCAGGACCTCGGGCTCAGCTTGGATCTCCCCTTTCGCTGCCCTTTCACACCCCAGCAGTTGTAGAGGCTTGGTGAATCCTCCGCGATGTCTCTCACTTCTCTCCCCTTCTCTGTTCCACCCGAGGCTCCTTTCTGTGCCCCTGCCCTAGACAAGCCTGGGTCGGCCAGCTTCTCCCAAGCACCTCCTTTAGGCCAGAGACAAAAAAAGAAACGAGCCCTGTCCCCCAGGAGCTCGCCTTCTAACGAGGGCAGCACTCTCTTTAATTAAGCATGCCGTGTAGGATGCCATAAACCAGCAGCGAGGGATGACCATCACATTAAAACAGAGACTCGATGTGACATCCTGAAGGTATCGTTCTGTCCTGGCATACTTTCTATGGACTCAGTGTAATTGCATCATAAAGATGATGTGTCCAGGGCAGATTTTCAGAGCCACTTTCTCGGCACTGTTTGTGTCTTTTGTTGCCAGGGGCCAGCTTGTTTTGGGATGCGCCGGGTGAGAATCCAGAGCCTTCGGCTTCACTGAGACAGGACGACTCCAAGCTTTCCAGTGGAGACATCCATTTGTCCGTGAATGTCAATAACGATGTGACAGATCGCACAAGTGTTGCGTCTTCATTAAAAGCGGTTGATATTCCAAGTTTTGACGAGAGTAGCCGTGCTGTCGAAGAGGAAATGACTCCATCTTCAGCTTTCTCCAGGTGAGGCCTTGGTGAAACGCGTTTGTTTGCCTTTCCGATTAATACCTCTGTTTCTAATCTATCATTTGGTGTTTGAATACCTTTCTTCAGTCAGTGCTGGCCAAAAGCAGGGTCCGCGAGGTGGAGGTCTGGTGAGAGAGCAGAAAGAAACCTGTTAGGGCACTCACCCTTTGATTGTGGCTGAGTTACTTTACCTTTATCGAATGCCTCAGTGTCCTCATCTGTAAGATAGCCTCATAGCATTGTTGTGAGGAAACTCATAACTTGGCCCAAATATGAATTGTTAAAACAAATGAGAAATGACACCCTCTTTGGCCCTTGGGGAGGTAGGATGTACACAGAGATGTGTAGGGATGGTCATAATAATAATATCTAATATTAAATGGCATTTTAAAGTTGGCAAAGCTCTATAAATGTGTCGTCTCGTGATCCAGCCACTGCAGAAGGTAGATCCCGTAGGTGTCATCCCCATTTTGTAGGTGAGGAAACTGAGGCTCATCGAGGTTAGGTATGTTGTCCATGATCACGTGGTTATGTCCTGGGGGCGGGATTCCTATCCTGGACTTTGTGACTCCAGCCCAGTGCTTTGTCTGCTGCATTGCTGTGCGTGGGATCAGCTAAGAGCTCCAGACATGTGGGGAGGAAGCCTTCGCTTTGGCGTGGGGTGGGATGAGGGAAAGAGATACTCCCACGCTGACCCTCTGAAGGCTTTGGTGCTGGAGGACCTCTGCCCCCTCTCTCTGCAGAGGACTCAGCCTCCAGCACACCTTCTGGCAGCCCGAGGAGCCTTTAGCCTTTCCCATAGGGGAAGTGCCAGGGCTTATGTTCCGATAGCACAACCTTGGGGAGCGTTAGTGGAGGAGCTGTATTTGTATGAGAAGAAACAAGACGGTTTTAAAAATTAAACGCTGCATGTATTAATTCTGATCACTCAGTGAGGGTGAGGGGAGGTGAAAGGAGGTGCTCTGGAGGGGAGGGGACACCTATCGAGGCTTAAATAGCCTGGTTTAGTTTCCTTTGACACCAGGTCAAAAACACTGTCACTTGTGTCTTACTGCAAGGGCTAGTCTTTGTATGAGATAATTGAGTGGGTTGCCCAGAAGAAAAGATTTACATGTCTTCCTTCAAACAAGTGCCCTGCTGAAGGACAGGAACTCTGCTGGTCTGCCTTACTCTGAGGCCATAGAGGCCAGCCTCCTCATTTTGCAGATGATGAAACTGAGTCCCAGGGATAGCAAGTAGCAGAGTCTCCAGGTCCAGAACCCCAGGCCTCTGCCCTGCTGCACACTGCCACCCGCCCTCCTCCACCAGCCTGCAGCCCATGAGACCCAGGGGCAGGGCTCAGAGATGGGAGTTGGGGGCTTTTGTTCTTTTCACATGACCCCGTAATAGACTCCCTATAGATGAGCAAACCATTTTTTAGAGGATGCTTGCTTGTAGCAATTAGATGTACATACCACGCTGGGTAACTGGGGAATGTAGCTTAATCATTTCACAGACCTCTGCCGAGGCATGCCTCCTTTTAGCAAGGAGCAATTTCAGGCAGATCCCGGGCGTCTCCTTATTTCGCATATGATGCGTATGGAGGGACAGGAGAGAGTTCACATTGGCCTTATTTATCTTACCTAATTTGATCCTATAAGCTGTAGACCTTTTTCCAAAAGGAGCCAAGTCAACTCATACTCTCTTCAATTTGGATTCTGAGTATATGTGTTTTTTAACTTTAAAATCTGTTCTGTAGTCCCATGAATAGAATGCAGTTAATTACTTCTTAGTAGCAATTAATCATCTGTATTGATTTCTCATAGCACATGTGATATAAATCTAATCTTCCCCAAGCACAGTACACTGATGGGGATCCTCGCCGTGGCCCAGTGTCACCCACATTTGTCGTGGGGGTCCTCGAGGGAGCAGGCCCAGGTCTGTGGTTTTATTCATGCCTGTGGCTTCCCCTGCTGTGTATACACAGATGACACCTGGATGTGTGAGCTCCCAGTGACCCTCTGTTGGCTGATTGTGCCGCCTCTGTCTTCCTGACGTGAAAGCAGGCTCTATGGCATGCATTTCTCCAGCCCAGGGCCTCCAAGCTTGATTGGTTATTGATTGCATTGTCCCAGTGGAGAAGCGTGCATGGTATTTAGAGACTTTTTCTTTCTTGTTTTCCTTTAGAAGTCTTGCTTTGACAAATGTACTAATATTTGCCATAGTTGGAATCACCTTTTCAATTTTTTTTTATCTCAAATTCTCTTGAGGCTCCAAATGTTTTCATTTGCCAACTCTTTTCTTCTATCTTGTCTAGCTTTAGCTTTTGTTTGCCAAGTTGTACATTGAAATGTGTGTTTCATAAGTCCCGAGGATGTTTTGTTACCACATTCTGAAAAGCCATTGGATCATCTGTACCGCGATGTCCAATGTGCTTCTTGTCCTTGTCTCGTCATGGGGGACGAGCCAGAAATCCCACTCCTGACGCTCTACTGTTGCTGATAGTTCAGAGGGAAGCCTTGGATTCACCAGTCCCCATTCACACTTCCTCGTGCTTTCTTGCACAGCCTGAGGTCGGTGATTTAGTTATCGGTCGTAGGTCAATTTGTTTCATGTAGACTTGGAAGCGGTGGTTACCTCACTGTGATGTCTGATCCCCAGGTTCCTGGTCAGGCTTTCAGGATTAAAAAGAAGTTTCCACCCTGCTGACTTGAGCAGCCCTAGTGCAGTTCTTCCCAGTTGACATCGAGGTTATTTGAGCTTGTTTTTGATTCACAGTCTGGGATTGTGCTTCTGCTGATTACTGTGTAAATGTGGGTCTCTCCCCCATTGCTGTGCTCTCTGCCCAGCTTCTGATTTCTTCATGTTCCTTGATGCTTTCGGATCCAGATTGGAAATTGACATCACAGGACAGAACTGTGGGAAAGTTAAGTATGTAAATGAGAGGATTGTAGACTGTGGACCTGGAAAGGACCGTAGGTCACTTAGTCCAATCCCATCATTTTACAGATGAGGAAACTGAGGCTCAGAAGTAAAGTGCCTCGTCCAAAGCCATATAACTGGAACAAAGTCAAAATGTCCTGGCTGGCCTTCACAGCCCTTCGTGACCACCCTGCCTTCTTACACCTCACTGCCCAACACGCCCTCTTCCTCCAGGGACGTGGGCCTCCCGGATGTTCTCTGACTAAGACCCTCCCCGTCTCAGCTGTGGGCATTCTCTGGTAGATCCCGGGTCTGGTATGGGCTCCCCATCTCTGCCTCCTGCCTTCCCTCTGGTGGTCATGTCCTTGTCGGTGCTGTCTGGAGCTTGTTGGTACAGAGCTGTGCCTGCTGGCTGGGAGCTCCGTGGCGGCAGGGGCTGGCACACAGGAGGTGCTTATAAATAAGTTTATGGACTGACTGACTGACTGACTGACTGAGCCAGGGTTTGAACCCGGAATTCATTAACTCCAAATCCACTAGTGTTTCCACTATGCTACACTGCCACCTTGTGGGGAAAATGGTATTTCTACCACTGAGTTTTTAATATGCTGAGCCTCCATCTCTTTGATAATAAGATTTCAGGGTACATGATATATTTCAGAAAATAAAAGCTTCCATTTTTGGTCAGACCAGTGGTCCAGCCAGCCTACTGTTTGGCCTGTCAGTGGCACTAGGGGAGTTTGCCAGACAAATGCCAGAGTTATGGGAATAGGCCCAATTTCCTTTTCTCTGCCCCATTATGAATCTGTGAATCCTTACTTTAGCAAAACCCTTCATGAGCCTTGTTTTCATTTTCGGCCTCTGGAATCTTTTTGAACTAGTCCTGTATGTAAGTATTTCTTAGTGGATCACTGTCTTCCTGGTCCTTTGAGCCAGTTCAGTGTGCGAATTCCTAGGCCAGGGCACTGGGCTCGGCACTGGAGACACAGAGATGAAAAACCACAGCCCTTTGTGAGAGCTCACAGTTTAATGGCAGGCTGGGACATACCAAGTAGGATGTGATGGGGGCTCAGGCAAAATCCAAAGTGCCCTAGCGTAATCTGAGGAGGCAGGAGTCACCTGGGAGAGGAGAGGGGGAAGATCTGGGAAGCCTTCATTGTACACATGGCAGCTGAGCTGAGATTTTAGTAGTGGAAATGTCTGGGGATTTTCTTCCAGGAGTTGAGGGATGACTTGATTGAATGGCCAGAGGCAGAAGAGGCTAGGATGAGGAAAGGATGAATGAATGAATGAATGAATGAAACATTTATCATTCAGTGTCTTCTATATGCCATGGGGAAGGGAAAAGAAACAAACATGTTTTAAGTGCCTACTATGTGCTTTACAAATATATGATCCTCACAACAACCCTGGGAGGTAGGTGCTATTATTATCCCCATTTTACAGTTGAGGAAACTGAGGTGGATATCACTTACATGGCCAGCCCAAGGTCACCCAGCTATTAAGTGGCTGAGGCTGGATTGGAGCTCAGGTCTTTCTGACTCGAGGCCCCTGAGTCTGCCACTGCTCCACCAGCTGCCTTCTGATGTTGAGTCATGCACTGCTGTTCCCAAGGCCCCTGATCTTCCTCTGTCAAGCTCCGAGGGGAGATGGTGGTCATGGTGCTGGTAGTTTGACTTGCCAGACACATGCTACCTTCTGTCTCCCACTCAGACCCCTTGTTGCATCAGCTGGGTTGCCTTGGCTGCCCTGTGGGTGGCAGGTTGTTGATGGCTCATGGGGATGAGTGGCTCCTTCTCTACAGGATGGCTATGGGGCCTGGGGTGGAATCAGAGGGTGCCCCCTCTCCCAGGCTCCTCTGCCCATCTGCCTATTGGTGGCACTTGGTTACGTTATATAGAGGAGGGTTCAGTTGTAAGGTGGAAAGACCTGTGTCCTAAGGGTAAAGGGTAGGGGAGGAGGCAGAGGCCAGGAGTCCTGAGGGTGCCTACCCAGAACAGAAGGCACAGTGCTCAGGTCTGGAGGTTGCAGTTTCCAGATGGTAAGGCTACCATGACAGGGCAGCTAGTAAGGCCTAGAAGTCCTCCATCTTAATGGAGGGATTATAGTTCATCAGAATGGAGTGAATGGCTCGTCTGCCTGGTAGTGGGGGGATGGGGGCACCTGGGCCCACAAATCTTAGGATGGGCTTGAGGGTTGGAATGGAGCTGCAACTCTAGGCTCCCTCCCATGAGGCTGGGAAGGGGTGGTGGCAGGGAAATCCTGATAGGGTTGGGGAGGGGCAGAAGACCTGGGAGAGCTGTGGGAAAGGAAGGAGATGAAGGGAAAGAGAGATTGAGCCAGATTAGGGAGGACCTGAAGTGCCAAGCTAAGGACTTTTCTCCTGTAGATAATAGGAAGCCACTGAAGGCTTTGGAATAGAGAAATGAGCCTTTCAAACTTGGGCTTTCAGAAGTCCAAAAAGAACACAATCTTAGAGGCCCAGGACCAGATGGGGAAACTGAGACCAGCTTAACTTGGGGTGGGGGGGGCAGGGCAGGTACACTAGGCAGTCCTTTTTTTTAAAAAACATATTTCCACATTAATCATGTTGTAAAGAAGAATTAGAACCAAAGGGAAAAACCATGAGAAAGAAGAAACCGAAAAGAAAGAAAGAAAATAATATGCTTCGATCTGCATTCAGTCTCTAGCTTTTTTTCTGGATGTGGATAGCATTTTCCATCATGGACCTTTTGGAATTATCTGAGAAGACTTAAGTCTGTCAAAGTTATTCATCACACAACGTGGCTGTTACTGTGCACAATGTTCTCCTGGTTCTGCTCACTTCACTCAGCATCAGTCCATACAAGTCTCTCCAGGGTTTTTTGAAGTCAGCCTGTTCATCATTTCTTGTAGCACAACAGTATTCCATTGCATTCATATAACACAACTTGTTCAGCCATTCCCCAATTGATGGGCATCCCCTCAATTTTCCAATTCTTGGCCACCACACAAAGAGCTGCTATAAATATTTTTGTACATGTGTGTCCTTTTCCTGCACAGACCTAGAAGTGTTATTGCTAGGTCAAAGTGTATACAGTTTCATAGCCCTTTGGGCATAGTTCCAAATTGCTCTCCAAAATTATTGGATCATTTCACAACTCCACCAACAATGCATTAGTGTTCCAATTTTCTCATATGTCCAACAGTTATCACTTTTCCTGTTTTGTCATGTTAGCCAGTCTGATAGGTGTAGTGTAGTACCTCAGAGTTGTTTTAATTTGCATTTCTCTAATCAATAGTGACTTAGAGCATTTTTTATATAACTATAGATAACTCTAATTTCGTCATCTGAAAAATGATAAACTAGGCAATCTTTAGGATCCTTTCCAGCTCTAAATTCTGTACAACTGGGAAGAATTCTGTCATTTGGGCTCTCTGAGGTCAAGTCTAAGCACATCTACTCCTGTGCCTCACTTACAGGATTAAGTAAAGGCTTTGCTTCTGTTTGATTTGTAAAACCCATCTTGACATTGTCCCAACTACCCTTCTCTTTTCATTACATGCACCTACATTCCACAGTGGCTCAAACTGGCCTTCCTATTTTCCCTCTCACACATGCTTTTGCCCTGGTGGTCCCTAGTGCCTGGAATGCCCTCCTCCTTCTGACTCAGCTCAAGCAACACCTCCAGTAGGTGCCCCAGAGGCTGGCATCCTACTCCAGGATCTGGGGTTTATTTTGTGTTTGCCTGTGTTATGGATGGATTATTGCCTCCTCCCCCATTGGAATTGAGGGTTGGGACTCTCAGTTTTGTCTTTGAAGACTTATCACCTAGAACTTAGAACAGTTTTTGGCATACATTAGGTGCTTAATAAATGCTTAGATTAACCTGGGGCAAGTCACTTAACCTCTCTAGTTCTCAGTTTCTCAGTCATTCTAAACTGTGTCTAACTCTTTGTGACCCTATTTGGGGTTTTCTTGGCAGAGATACTAGAGTGGCTTGCCATTTCCTTTTCCAGCTCATTTTACAGATGGGGAAACTGAGGCAAAAAGGGTTAAGTGATTTGTCTGGGGGTCACACAGCTAGGAAGTGTCTGAGACTGGATTTGAACTCAGAAAGATGAGTCTTTCTGACTCCAGGCCCAGTGCTCTGTGCACTGTGGCGCCACCTAGCTGCTGAGTTCTCAGTTTACAAAATGACTTCTTTTTTTAAATAGTATTTTATTTTTTCCAGTTATATGTAAAGACAATTTTTAACATTCATTATTACAACATTTTGAGTTTCGAATTTTTTTCCTTTCCTCCCTTCCCTCCCCTTTTCCTAAAACAGTAAGAAATTTGATGTAGGTTACATATGTGTAATCAGTGTAAAATATTTGTCCATATTAGTCATGTTGTGAAAGAAGAAACAGACCAAAGGGAAAAAAAACCACAAAAATTTTTTTTAAAAATAAGAATAGTATGCTTTGATCTGCATTCGGAGTCCATCAGTTTTTTCTCTGGATGTGGATAGCAGTTTTCATCATGAGTCCTTTGGAATCGTCTTGAATTATTGTATTACTAAGAGGAGCTAAGTTATTCATAGTTGGTCATCATACAGTGTTGTTTCTGTGTACAACGTTCTCATGGTTCTGCTCACTTCACTCAGTGTCAGACCATACAAGTCTTTCCAGGTTTTTCTGAAGTCCACCTGCTCTTCATTTCTTATAGCACAATAGTATTCCATTACATTCATATATCACAACTTGTTCAGCCATTCTCTAGCCGATGGGCATCTCCTCAGTTTCTAATTTTTTGCCACCACAAAAACAGCTGCTGTAAATATTTTTGTGTATGTGGGTCCTAATGAAATGACCTTTCCTGTTCTAAAATTCTGATCCAATGAAATTCTACCTTTTAGAGAAGCTAAATGACATGTATTAGGGAGCATCCTGATCATCTGCTCTAGCATCTGTATTTTATAGATGTGAACTGAGGCCCAGAGATGGGAAGAGTACTTTGAATAACTATAATAATAACTTTAGTTATATATAACTATATATATTATATAACTGTAATAATAACTTTAGTTACAACAAACCTAACAACCAATAATAAAACAGCAGCATTTCTACAGTGCTTTAGAGTTTGTAATGAGCTTTACATGCCTCATAGCAGCCCTCTAAGGTGGGCACTATTATTATCCTCATTTTACAAATGAGGAAGCTGAGACAGAGGTGAAGGGTCATTCATCCAGTGTGTCTGAGGCAGGATTTGAACTCAGGTCTTCCTGATTCCAAGGCCAGCCTCTATCTCCTGCACCACCGAGCTGCCCGAGGTTTCTCACAGAACTTTTAGTCTCACCTCCAGTTTAGTGCACTTTCCTCAAACACTGTTGCCATCTGATGATTCCTCCCTCTCCTACTCAAATCCCCCCCGAAAGCTGGGATGGTGCTGTTTGCTTTTTGTCCACTTCATCATTCGTTTATCTCAGAGGTCTTAGCAATGGTCAGTCTCCATCTCATTTCCTTTTGGAAGAAAGAACTTAGGGTAGAGCTGTGTTCTGCATTCTGCTTTTTGGTGCTGGGACATGAAAAGTAGTTGATGTGATTGTGAGGGATAGAGCTATTAGCTAAGCACTCGGGCAGACTTTGACTCTGAGGTAGGGGGTGGGAAAAATAGCCTAGTGCCTACTGGATATCTTCATCAGGACAGGCAGTGGCAGAATTAAGTCCAGGGTCATAAGACCTTTTATCCATGGGCGCCTCCCTTCAGATAGATGGCCTGGGTGTTTTTTCCAATCGTGTTCCCCAATGAATGACTTTGTCCGGTATTTACTAGGGGTACATATGCCCATGGCAGATAAAGATTCCTAGCAAAGCCCTACAAAACAAGGAAGTAGGACAGGTAGCCCTTCAGAGCCCTCCCTGTATGTCTCAAGGAGCAGCCTCAGCTCCAGAACTGCTGCCCCGGGCTGTGATGTGGGGCTGTGTTCAAGGGGCTGGAAGCCACTGACTCACTGACCCTTGGCTTGGGGCTTTCTTTTCAGTGTTTCCCCAGAAGTAAGGAAGGAGCCAGATGTACCAGTGTTTCTTCCAAATCCCACGTTGGGAGAAGATGTTAGCGGGAGCTTACCTCCAGGACCCACAGAGGAGGCTGGCAGCCTATCCTCAGCAGCAGCAGTGGGTGAACCCCAAGCCGAGTCAACCCAAGTGAGGGAGCCCTTGCCGCCTTCTCCGTCGGATGATCAGAAGTTTTACCAGGATTTACTGGTGAGCACAGTCTTGAATTTCATCCTGTTTGGGACGGTAGACACTTGTTTGCCATGGAACAGGTGACAGGCTTCCCTAGGTTTTGGCCGCACATTGGCTGCAGCAGCAGTTCAGAGGCTTGTCTGGCACCAGCATCCTGCCTTTCTCTGGCCATCTGAGGGTGATGAGGGTCACGGAGGCCTTTTACACTTTGCCTGTAACATGCCCTGGGCAGAGTGAGTTCCTCCCTGTAAGCATGTTAGTTATCAGGAACATGTCACTTGAAAACACAGGCTTGTTTCTAAAATATGAGTTTGGTTTTTATAAATCTGCACCCAATTAAACAAAATTCAGATCCAGGGAGAACTCACCCATCTATAACGTGCTTGCTGGGTCTTCTTGACTCTACTTCTCCAGCCATGAAATGGGATGGACAATACTGGCTTCCCTGGGAGCTAAGGGCACACTTTTTACCTTTGCTTTGGGATTGGAGGAAGATAAATGCTGGGTCAGTTACTGTGTCACCAAATGCTGTTTGGGTGTTCTGTGGGTCTGGGGGACGTGGGCAGAGAGGGCACAGGCTTCGGCTCATGGCTGGGGGCTGCTCAGGGCTTCTGCTCTACAGCACTTTGGGTCCCTGCCTTGTTCTCTCAGCCTCGGCTGACAAGTGAGCGGACAGGTGAGTGAGTGAGTTGGCTTTTTCTTTACTTTTTTTCTGACAACACATTTGAGATCAGTTTTTTTGAGATTTGAATCTTCTGTTTTCATTAGGGTCAGGTAAACCACCTGTTAAATACTTCTTCCAAAGACGCCGAGCCCACGTCCACAAAAGTAGCAGCAATTCCCAGCCATGGTGGCCCTGGAACCCAGAATGGGGGTGATGGAAAAACCAAAAGGCCTGACCCCAGCCGGACGGACAAGGACAGCGTCCTTCATGCCACCGTTAAACAGCTGAGAAACCTTGGCGTAAAAATTGACTCTCCAAGTAAAATGAAGAAAAATTCACATAAAGTGGACCAAGCCAGGTAATCTTTTTGTGTCTTTCGGATAAATAGGTGCATGTCCATGGTATGGCAATCTTATGGCGGAATAACCAACTTGTCTTTTATTGGGGATATCATGATACAGTGATAGAACTTTATAGCCAAGAGCCCTCATGAGGCTGAAGTGGAGTGTATTCTTCATGGGCTTCACACGGAGAAGATCGAGCAGCAGTATTTTGTAGGCTGGCCTGTGATAAGGCACAGGGATGGAATGTGGCCTCCATTTTGGTAATCACCTAGCCAATATTTCCAAAACCCTTCTATTCCCTGGAGGCGTAGTCTTGCCTTTTGGGGAGGAGAAAACAAATCGTAACAAGACCTCCTAGATGCCGTGGCGGAAGGATCCCATTTCTTCACAGCTTCCATTTTATTCTGACCTAAATGCAGAACAGGAAATAGAGATGGACATTCCTAGAGAACCTTTCAGTACTATCAAAAATGGCTTTCATTACTTTCTCAAGTAAAAATGAAGGTTAGAATACATTCAGGGTGTGGTTTCCTGTATTTTGAAGTGAGATTTTCCACCTTGTGATAGTAAATTATCCTGTGATGGGATAGAGACTGGCAGGCAGTTCACAGCACATCTGAAAAGCGGTGAGCCGGGTGTCAGAGTGGTTTTGAACAGCCATGGTGAGAAATAATTCAGTGGATTTTGTGTGTGTGAGAAGCTTACTTTTCAGGAAGTACCTCCATTTCCATTTGGCTACAATTGTCTTTACACTCAGCGTGATCCTCTGCCTTTAAGGCTCCCCTCGGGTCCCTCACCCCCCAGACGACTTCCCAGCTGCCTTGAGATCACAGTCTGCCTTTCCTTCCTGGGCTTTCTTTAGCACTCAGGGCCTGGAACACTGCCCTCACCACCTCCCCCTCCCAGAGTCCTTCTGGAGCTGTTGGGGCCCACCCCCTCCAGTCTGTATGTAACTTGTGTCATCTTCTCCCATCAGAACAGGAGACCCTTGAGGGCAGAGACTGGTTTTGGGGGTTTGGTTGTTGGTTTTTTTTTTTTTTTTGCCTTTCCTTGTATCCCTAGGACATGACACTGTTTCTGGCACATAATAATAATGATCAACTGACTTCGACCAACTTTGAATTGGCCCTAATGTAAAAGAGGTTGTGTTCCATGTGTCAGTTTGTTCATTTTCCCTTTGTAGGCCTTCATTTCCTTACCTGTAAAAGGGCTTGGACTTGGTGATTGCCGAGGATTGTCTGCCCTCTGATGCCAGTTTTCATTCTGTAACTCAGAACACATTTCCCTATCAAAACAATACAGATTTGATAAATTCCCAGAATCTCCCCTTTCCTCTAGCTTGACTGGTCTCTGTGTCTTGTGTCTCTAGAATCTAGTACATAGTAGGTGCTTAACAAATGTTTTTTTTAATTCAATTGACCAGTTGATCCATCAGTAAGCATTTATTAAGCTCCCACTATGTGCCAGGCACTGGAGATACAAGTATAAAAAATGAAATAGGGGGCAGCTAGGTGATGCAGTGGATAGAGCACCGGCCCTGGAGGCAGGAGGACCTGAGTTCAAATCTGGCCTCAGACACATAACGCTCACTAGCTATGTGACTCTGGGCAAATCGCTTAATCCCAATTGCCTCACCAAACCAAACCAAAAAAAAAGAAAAAGAATGAAATAATCTCTTTATCATATATATTTTATAGACATAAAATATGTATCATAAACCTAAAGTGAATAAGTACAGACCTATACAAAATAGTCACAGAAGGCAGTTTGGGGGCATTGGGAGAGGCTTCATGCATAAAATGGTGCTTCGGCCGCACCTTAAAAAGGAAGAGAGGAGTTCTAGGTGGCAGAGGGAAGGAGGGAGCTCTAGTTCTAATGTTACCTGAGAGACTAACCATGGGTGGCATTTTGGGGGGAAGCTCGTTCCAAATTTCATATGGGGGGCATACAGGGATGCACTCCTCCATGACATACCCTGCTGAAAGGCTCCCTAGCTAGGACAATTGTCCAGTAATGGAGCAGGCTGCCCCAGAAGCAGGTAGCAGATTTTCCCTCCCTGGAGGCCTTCAACTGGAGACTGGTTGACCACTTGTCGGAGACACTGCAGGGAGGTTCTTGGTCCAGTACCGGTTGGACTAGACGCCTCATAAGTCCCATCTAACTTGGACCATTTAGGAATTCAGATTCCTGAGATTTTGGAGGCAAGAAAGAGGAGGAGGGGCACAGATATCCCAGCAGTGGTGGGAAGAAATGGAGACATGGGGTCCTGATGGCTCATGGGAAGAAACAGGTTCTTAGCTTGTGGAGCCATTGAAGACGCTTCTAAGTCACAGCCTCCTGTGGATCTTCTCTCCCCTCCCATCCCCCCAGGCAGATCTATGACCCCTCAAGGCCAAGGACCATGGCTTAATGTGGTTTTGTCTCCTTCCCTTCCTGGCCTCCCACCGCTAGGGAAAGGAGGAGCTTAATCAGCAGAGAGCTGTTAGTGAGTGGGACTTGTGGAGGCTTTGGTTCCTGCGGTCCAAGGGCACTGATGTCTTCAATGGCTCCCTGTGGGCAGAGGGCAGGGCCAAAGGTCCTGTTAACTGACAACTCTTTGCCGAGTGAGTTCCTACTTTATATGGTGGTAATTTGTCTTTCTCATTTTTTGTTTAATAAATGGGAAAACATAATTTTTTAAATAAACATATGCATTTAGCTTCTCCCTTGCTTTAGTTACTATGAGGCTTCCCACTTGGTAAAAAGAGGACAAAGTGGCCAGTTAAGGTGAGCGGCAAGTAAGCCCGGGGGTCAGATGTGGCCAGTGAGGACATGGTCAGTGAGGAAGGCCCATCTGCGTCATTGCCTTCAGGGGCAGCTGTTCTGTGGGCATCTTATTCCGAAGACCCCCCCTCGGGCTTCCATGGTCCGGAGAGGGATCCAGAGGTAGTGGGTGTGGCTGGGGGGAGTTCTAGCACATTCAATACTCACAGCTTTCAAGGAGAGGTAAGGAGGGTCACCTGCATTGCTTTCCATTGGAATTGTCCTGGTGTTGTCGTGCTTTGATATGGAATGGGATTGATCTGTTTGGCTTTCTGAGTAATGACGCCCACACCACCCCCTGGACAGAAAACAGCTCCACCTGTGTTTACAATGAGACTTGCAGAATGTTTGAAAGTGATATTGACTCCTTCATAGATTTATACAGATCCAAAATTTTATGTAGGATCCCCTTAATGATTCCATAAAACAGGAAGCACTTAGAATATTCAGATCTCAGTTATGTTCATGTCATGTTTTGAATTAAAAGTTTTGATTATATGCATGACTGTCAACCAGGAAATAGACAAAAGGTGTGTTTAAAGGTGAAGATCCCTATGACACAGGCAACATGCTGGTTTTCTTTGGCAAAGATACTGGAATGGTTTGCCATTTCCTTCTCCAGCTGATTTGACAGATGAGGAAACTGAGGCGAACAGGGTCCCACAGCTAGTATGTATCTCAGGCCAGGTTTGAACTCAGGAAGAGGTGTCTTCCTGATTCCAGGCCCAGCTACCCATTGTGCTACCTAGCTGCCCTGTAGAAAAATTGCTTAGTCATAAAAACTTAATTTTTCAAACACAGTTATTTTATTTAAAAAAGCATTTTTACAAATCACCCGTGTACCAGAGAGAAGGCTGTGGGCCAGGTGAATTTTATTCACATGCAGGCCCAAGGTGCTCCCTGATGTGTCCTCTCATCACCGTCCTCTAGCTCTCCTCCTCCCCTCTTTCCAACCACTCCCTTCTGCTGAGGGAATCACCATCCAGTCACTCAGGTTTGCAGCCTGGAAGTCATCCTTGACCCGAACTCCCCCAGCCCACAAATCTGGTCTGGTAGGATCCGTCAGGTAGAGGCAGTCCCTGTGCTGTTGAAATCATGGGTTACTGAATTGTCCAATTCACACACAGTTAACATCAAATTTATTTTCCACCCTCACTGAATAATCTTAATGACCGTCAATAGAAGAGGAGGAGCTCAGGCAGCCTCTTTGGTGGCTCCCTCTGGTGGAAGCAGCTTTACCCTAGGGACTGAAGGAGAAGAGAAGATGGCGACTGTTGGCAGAATGAGGCTGGCCACCACCCTGCTGTCTTTGGGCTGATGGGTGTTAGCAGGTGGGGAGGGTTCACCTGGAGCCGGTGGTGGGTCTGATGGTTCCACTCCCACCCCTGGGGTCTCCGGACCGTATCTCAGAACGGAGAATTGACCAGACCTGAATCTCCGAGAAAGGGAGCCGAGTCTCTACCCTGTCTGTCCAGGAGATGTGGAAGATCTGGACATTTCAGGGACAGCCTGCCCACTGCACAGCACGCACACGGAGCGAGGTTTCAGGAACTGTTTGGGCAAGATGCGCGTCCCACACGTTCTAGTGACTGTTAGGCACGAGACACAAACTGAATAACAACTTGTTCTTCCGTCTTTCAGTGTGTTGGCGTGCATCAGCCCCGAAGCGGTCATCTCCGGATTAAACTACATGTCCTTTACTAACGTCGGCATGAGCGGTGTGAGCCCCAGTGGTGTGGATCTGAGCATGGAGGCCAATGCCATTGCTCTCAAGTATTTAAGTGAGAGTCAGCTGTCGCAGCTTTCCTTCAGCCGAGCAAACCAAAATCTTCCCGACTCGTCCTTCAGCCTTCTCCATATCAACACAGACAAGAACGTGGTGGGGCTCAGTCTGATCTCACCAAACATGTCATTTGCGACCAGAAAATATATGAAGAGGTACGGGCTGATGCAGAGCAGTGACAGTAGTGAGGATGAGGAAGAGATTCCGAATAAGGCTGACGCCCCCGAGAGTGAGCCTTCGCTGGATCAAACCTTAGCTTCCAGCCCCGAGCAGTTTAGCTGTCAGAAGGATGGCCCTGGAAGAGGCTGTGAAATTCTGGATTTGAAATGCTCCAACCCAGAGTTGGTGGGCGCACACCGGCTGCCAAAGCCTGGGGTGCCTGTGTTAAGAGATGTCACGAATGGAGCGGCCCCGCCGAGGGCTGCATCGTCACCCGAGGATGAGTCCTCGGCCTTCATCCTGAAAGACCTAAAGAAGAACCCCTCGGTCAAGTTACTGACCGGCCGGGCTGAGTTTACTCAGCATCCTGAGAAGGAAAATCAAAGGGACATTCAGGTATTTCCTGAAAGTTTGCAGCCTTCCGACACTCTCAGAGAGATGAATAGTATGAATTCCGTGGGTACGTTCTTAGATGTCAGGCGTCTCAGGCAGCTGCCCAAATTATTCTAGGTATTTCAGTAGCTGCTAAGCTTTCTTGGATTAGGGCAGAAGGCTAGGCTGAGGGTTTGGTCCTTGGAGAGAGTGAGGAGGGCCACTGAATCGGGTAGTTGAGGTCATTCCAGAACCTTGTCAAAGCCATCTCTGCAGTGGCCAAGGGCAGAGGGCTAGGGTGGTGGCCTCAGTACCTGGGAAATGGCCAGCTGTTGGGGACAGAGCACGGGCTCTCAAGGAGGACCCCTCTGCAGTCAGCAGAACGATGCGTCTTTGCAGCTGGAGGTCTGGAGAGTAAACACTCACCCCCCACCTCGGCCTGACTTGTTCTTTCACCAGATACGTGGGGAAGGAAAGTCATTTTATCCTCCATCTTGGTAAAGGTTGTTTACTATCAACTTGCATTAAAGTTGATTCGGTCTCAGCTAGCTCCCGTCTCTGCAGGTGCCCTGAGTTACTTTGAAAGCATCATGAAATAAAGGTATCTCGGCCTTGGAAGGAGGAGCAGGATTAACTCTTTTAGAGCTGGGGAATTCGACTTCTCTCTTTTCTTCTGAAAATATATTTTATTTAAGGCCCTTCTTTCTGTCTTTCCTCTTAATTGAAATGCTTGTTTGTTAAACTACTGGGATCCTGCTTGGTTGAGACTTGTGTGACATCGTATCTTCAGTGTGTTGCTCTGACTACTCCAGAGCAACTCATTTATGCTGTGTGTGCTTTGTAAACTTGGGAGTGAGTTTTTCAGTGTTTGAATTTAATAAAAATGTGCAGGCTGTCTGTCTTGATCACCTGCTAGAACAGTCTTATAAATCTCTTTGTTGGGAAATAACGTCCTTCAAATTGGTTTAAGGAACATTCGGCATTTTTGAATTGGTTTGTGAAAAAGCCCAATTTCTCTTGAGATGTTTTCTGCTCTTGAGTTAAAAAGAAAACATCACTGTGTCTTCTTGAAGGTCGGTATCCAGCGTGCCCTGGAGGGAATAGTTCTCCCCTCCTCCCCTTAAAATGAATAAATGAACAGACAAATAAAAGCAACATCACCGCAGGTCCCTATAAGCTTTCAGTTTGAGGGCTGTGTTTTGGCAACAATCTGACAACGTGTAATTGCAGTTGATTAAGTCCATGGTAAAGACTCCTTTCCAAGGAACATGGCTTCTGTTGGTGCAGGTAGCAGACAGGGGGCCATTAAAGCTGAGCATCCTTCCCCATGCTTGAGGTGACGGCAGTGGTCTCCACCTCCTCCACCTTCTCGTGTGTCAGTGGGAGGGATTTTTGTCTGAGTTCACTTCTTAGAAATCTTCACGAGAAGGGCTGCTGGGAATCTCTCTCTCTAATGGAATGGAGCTGGCCGTGCTTCTTGGAGTCTGTTCTGTTTAATCTCAGTCCTGAAACAAACCTGTTTCCTGTTTCATGAGTATGGGCTCCACGTGTGCTGTGCAGGATTGGAAAACGCCGTAGAAGAGTTTGGTGAAAAAACAAACAAACGACCCGACAGTCCTGTCGAATAGAACAAAAGCCCTTTCAACCTTTTGTGCTGAGCTTGACCACTGAAAACACAACCTCAGACCTTCCAAGGCTAACTCCATCCACTGGCCTGTGACTGTCAGATCCAAGGGATTTGGGGATTTAGGAGCCCCCCAGAGCATTGTACTAACTATCGGCATGTCCCCCAAAGCCCTACATTGACTGGGGATCGTGCAAGTCAGTGGGTTAAGTTTTGGATCAAAGAATGTTTCTGCTGTAGGAAATGAGTCGTTAAGTCAGTTTGTGATGGACCACCACCACCTATTCCCTCCCAGCCCCTTCAGAGGAATCCTGCTAGACTGGCAGAGGGTGGGATTGAAGTGCCGCCACCCAGGCACCACCACGGCCTCTGGGAGCAGCTGCCCTGGCCAGGCCAAATGGTCATCCTTCAGGCTTTTTTCTGGACTAAGCTAACCTGACACAAAAAGCAAATGCGTTAGACTTCCCCATGAATGTGTCCTTTCCTTATTTCAAGGGCCAGCTCCGGTGCCACCTCCTGAAGTCTTCCCTGACCTCTCTTCTGCTGGCCTCGGACCCCTTACTCCTCCACATCCAGTCCCAAATGTTTTGGCCACAAAGGGAGAGGTTGCTTTCAACTGGAGACATCAGGGAAGGCTTCATGAAGGAGGTGGCAGGATGTTAGGTGCATTCTCAGTACTGTAACTTTCCCAGGTTTAACTTGTCCCTAAACTGCTAACCCTTGTCAGTGAAAAAAAAAAAAAGGAAGGACTTATTAAGTGCCTTCTATGTACAGGGATAAAAAATTCCAGCACTCAGGGAGCTTACATCACACTAAGGGCTAGGGGAGGTACAAGCCCCTCATCCCCCTGTCCTTCCTCTGGAGTCCCTTCCAGGTTTCTGCCCACTGCTAGTGCCTTCCTTCTGGTATCACCTTCCCTTTTTATATATCTTGTATGTATGTAATTGTTTGCATATTGTCTCACCCGTTAGACTATGAGCTCCCTGAAGGCAGGAATTATTTTTTTTTTGCCTTGCTTTTTATTCCTAGTGCTTCATTATGAGTACTTAATACCTGCATGCAGACTAACACACAGATAAATATAAGAGAATCTGAGGGTGGAGCAAACAGCCCAAACTGGGAGGGTTCAACAGGCTTCCCTAGGAGGTAGTCCCTCAGCTGAGCCTCAGAAGCACCCAAGGATTCTAAGAAGCAGAGATGAGGAGGGGGAGTCCAATCCAGGCATGACAATAGGAGAGGAAATGCTGGGTGTGTTTGATTCACGTCAAACACACAAGTTTAACTAGAACCTGGAGTATGTGGAGATTAGCGTGACATCACAGACCATAAGCTGAAGACTGTATTTTATTCTAGAAGCACTAGTGAGCCACTGAAGATTCTTGGGTAGAGAAGTCAACTGTGCCGAGAATGGCCTGGAGAGAGGAGAGGCTAAGCGTGGGGAACCTTAGGGAAATACTAGATGCTTTTCTGCTAATGGATCATAACTTCTCATCCAAACAGGAATTCCTTCTCTGGTATCCCACACTCACAGGAAAGCGATCATTCTACCTGCTTGACCATACTCAGTGATGGGGAAACTCACTTCCAAGGCATCCCATTCAATTTTTGGACAACTCAGTATAAAATCTTACTTAAAATGAGCTCAACACCTTGCTTGTGTTTCAAGGTGGTTTCATCCCTGTGGGCACTTACTTCCTCCATCGATGCAAATCAAAAAGCCCTGAGGCGTTAGCAGGTACTTGTAAACAGAAAAAATCGTCTCCTTTCTATTGCCTTCTTATTAATAGGTGACATCTATCAATATGGCACTTCAGATTTGCAAAGCACTTTATGTTTGACCTCATTTGAGCCCCACAGCAAACCTACGTGGTAGAAATTCCACGTGTGATTGCTATTTTATGGATGAGGAAACAGCCTCGGAGACCTTAAGTGATTTGCTCATGTTCACATAGTAGAGTCAGAGGCACGATCGGAATCCAAGTTCTCCTGACACTAGGTCCAACACTGTGGTGTGCTCCCTTCCTCCTTAGTTCTTTGCTAACCCCCTCCTCACCCCATTGAATTGAAAAGGATTCCTAAGATGAACTCAGGATGCAGCATGATGCTTTGCAGGCATCCTTGGCCGAGGAATACCTCCACTTCTATAGCTTGTCATTTAGGTAGCCTGAGTGAGAATCTTACTCGAACCAACAAAGGTGCTATTTAAGAAAATCCAATACTAAAAACGTTGCACACAGATAAATGGATGATTCATAGAATCGGAACTGGAAAAGACCCAGTGCCCATCTAGTCCTATCTGCACCTGCATTAGACTCTTCAGTATGCCCAGTACTTAGCACACTGTGCACTAGTGCCTGAGTAGATGCTTAATAATTGTTTAGCCTGCCCAGTGGTCCCTGAGCTTTTGCTTGGAGACCCTCTGTAAAGGGGAAACCATTCTCTTCCTAAATAGCGCACACCCGATATGAGGCAGCTAATTGTTAGAAACTGTTCCCTTGTATCGAACCACACCTATCTCTTTTTCATTTTCTTTTCATTGGGATACTGCATTATTTAACTCAGCCTCTGGAGAGCCAGAGCAAGTCTGATGCTTTGTCCAGGGAACAGCCCTTCCAGTACTTGCAGATAGCTCTCATGTTTCCCAAGCCTTTTTCCAGGCCAAACAGCCCTACCTCTTTCAACTGATTCTCACGGTCACTAGCCTGTTCACTCTAGATTATTTATCTCTACATATTCTTCAGTGTATCAACATCCTTTCTAAAATGTAGCACCCAAAATGGAACATAAGACTCCAGATGTGGCCCAACCAGGACAACAAGATTATCACCTCCAGTTCTGGGTACTATGTATTCTTAATGGCTAAAATTACATTAGTTTTTTTTTTCTTTTGGAGTGGGGGGGGAGGGGACTGCTGTGTCACACTATTAACTTATAGACCTTGTAGTTCACTAGACCTCAATAGCTAAAATTGCATTAGGTTTTTGTTTTTGGTTTTTTCTTTGCTACCATATATCACAATATTGAAACATTGGCCTTTCCATTCACTAGTCTTCCCTGCCCATCCCCCAACCACTTTTTATTTTTTTCAGATGAACCGCTGTCCAGTATGCCTCCCCCACCTTGTGTTTGGGATACTTGGGAAATTGGTTTTTTTTTTAACCTAAGTGTAAGACTTCACATTTATCCCTGAACATGTCAATGTGGTCAATTTCTCACTTTATCGAAGGGTCCACTAGAATTTCCCTTTAAGTAGTGAGACTTCCTCATCTAATACTTCCGTCTCTAACTACTTAAGGAATAATATCTCCACGTGCACATCCCATTACCAGTTCAAACACTGTGTATCTAAAATCAGACTCCTCTTCCTTCCTACGTAGCCCTGCCTTTCCAATTTCCCTGTCTCTTTTGGTGGTACCGCCTGGTTTATTCCCTGAGACTTAAAAGCTTGATGTTATCTTGTAACTCTCCCTGACTTCATCTATAACATAATAACTACCACTTGTGTAACACTTTAAGGTTGGAACTTTAAGGTTGAAACTTGGCGAATGTTTCATTTGATTCTCACAACAACCCTGGGAGGGACAGTGCAGTTATTATCCCCATTTTACAGATCAGGAGACTGAGGCTGAGAGATGTGGTATCTTATACAGCTGTTGACTGAGATGGGAGTTGAATTCCACTTTCCAGTGCCCAAGTGCAGCACTCGATGTACTTTGCCACCTTGCTGACACATTGTCTGCCAGTTGTATTGATGTCTGCTGTGTTCACCTCTCTTTCCATTCCTATAACCTATTGCCTGGTGTCAGGATTGCGCTCTAGCAAATCCCCCAGCCTCCCTTTTTTCTCTCTTTTCATCCTGCACAGGCCCCAACATTAATCTTCCTAGAGCCCTCCTGCCGTATCACTCCAGATCAAGTCGAAATGCCTCACTTTGACTTTCAAAGTCCTTCATGGTTTTGGTTTATCAAATCTTATCTCTCATTGCTCTCCTACACAGAGACCCTCTACCCAGGCTGATTTTGGTTGTTTTGATTTGATTTGATTTTGATTTGGTTGTTTCCCACTAACACACATACACACTCGTTCCCACTTTTCAGTATTCTTTGGAATTCCCTTCCACCTAATTTTCCCCTATGGAAATCCTCACCTCAACTCCAGGAAGTCTTAGCTGACCACCTCAGCCCACAGTCAGCTAGCTTTCCCCTACCTGATTTCTCTGTACCGTGTATTTTGGTACTCAACTACCATTTAGTACGTCCTTCTATTCTGTTTGTAC